TTATCGTTACTCATTGTGTATTTATTATTACTTTCATTATTACGTGTTTTACTTTTCTATTATTTCTCTATTTTCTTTCTCTCTGCATTGTTGGGAAGGGCCTGTTAGTCCACACCTGTTGTTTACAAAGCATGTGACTAATAACATTTAATTTGACAGTTTAATTAATAAAATATGTATTTGTACTAGCGATGGGAAATCACAACTTCAGGTCATGTTGTTTCCACTCACAATTTCTCCCCTGCTCCCCCTGCCTACAACAAGCTTATATCTTAACCATGAGTGATTACAGTAATAATAATAATATGCCATTTAGCAGACGCTTTTATCCAAAGCGACTTACAGTCATGTGTGCATACATTTTTACGTATGGGTGGTCCCGGGGATCGAACCCACTACCCTGGTGTTACAAGCGCCATGCTCTACCAATTGAGCTACAGAGGACCACACAGTAGGCTGATATCTCATTAAACCTATATCCAGACTGATGATATCTCCCCTTTAGGACACAGAGATCCTGAACACGGCGGTGCTGACTGGGAAGAAGGTGGTGATGCCTGTCAGGACTGTGGCTGTAGAGGAGGACGGGTCAATCACTGATATCTCAGACTTCACCAACTGCAGCTCCACTGATGAGGGCATCCTGAAGGTACAGTAGGCTGCCTGCCGCTTGATGCCACATTGGCCCCTGGAATTGACCCTTGTGTAGAGGATGTATGTGTGCTAAAACCCTGGCTTAGTGGTGGAGGTACTTAGCACTTTAACACACACAAATAAGGTGAGTGTGTTTCTCTAAGGTGTTGATATGAAGCTGTCAGACTAAGCTGCTAAACACAGAGAATTCCAACACTGAGGTTACGTGGCTACTCTAACATTCACCTTCAGTTCTTTCACTGAAAGCTTCCTTACTTTACACACAGGTGTCACTGCCATGGTACTTTGCAGATTAGTGGTGTGAATAAACATGTCCAACAACCAAAGAGATGATTTGAGGTCATGTGGTTACCAGTTACCTCTTTCGACTGTGGGGGGGGGGGGGGGGGGGGGTAGAGTGCCGGATGTGTGTGTGTGTGTCCTGTCTGGCTGCCCCAAGGCTATGAGACAGGAGGGACATTTAGTGTGGGTGTAAGAGGGGGGGAGAGACATCTAAAGGCAAAGAAGTTGTACCAAAGTCACCTCTCCACTTGCTCTCTTCCACATCACAAAACAAACAGTGAGTGATGCTCCAGTGACATCCTCCATCATGCCCATCAGCTGCTGAACTGAAATGAACACATAACAGGACATGACAGGGAAACAAAGGAAGAACAAACATTTCATAGTGCGTGTTGTTGTTGCACAATATCCCTTTGTTATTACAGCCATTAATCTACATTCGGCCAATGCAAGTGTAATTATACAACATGCTCTGTGTACTAACATAAGTTTAACATAAACAAAGGCTTATCCACCCATTTGTCTGTTGTTGTTCTGTATTTTAAGAAATCCATTAGTACATGACCACAGGGAATAAGTGGTGTCTGTTTTGTAAAGTAATGGAATAGATATGAGAGCAGTGGGATTATGATAGTGACAACAAAATATAAATCACTATTCATGCATTTAAAATATGTATGACCCTTTATAGTTGGCCCAAGCTTAGACTTAAAGCTTATAGTGTTTGTTTGCTGATCAGATGTATAAGTAAGCTTCAGTCGCAAAAATTCTCCCTAAGCTTCTTAGTTTAGCGGCTCTACTCAGATGTCTTTGCTTTTTTGACGCATGTGAAAAAAGTATGAAATCTGCAGATGATAAATGGCAAGGCTTTATTCCATTTTATTTTCTCTGGTCTGAAATGCCAAAACAAAGTAATATCTGCGATGATAAAGAGGCTTTTCAGAAGTATTGAATCATTTGCTTTGTCAGTTGTGAGTAATGGACACTTGGGTACTTGTGTGAAAAGCCTTGAGATTAAGATTAATCTGGAACGTAAAATATCAAAACCAAGCACAATGACAAACAGTTATCTTTAAAATGGGTATTGATACAAGTCTATTCTCTGTCAATTTGTAGCTTCTTGTGTAATAAATATAGTATACTCACTGCAACCTTAAATCTTTTGGGGGGGAGATCACTTATCCATGAAGTTGGTATTCACTCTGTCAGCACAGTTACTGATACATGTTTGTGAGTCAAGAGAAAGATGCAAATGAAATTCATCTTGTTGACCTGAAAGAGAGATATTCTCACTCTGCCTTGATACTGCATGAAGTGATGAAAGACAAATGCTATAGATCAAATGAAACGTACATTTCAGACATGGTAGAACACTGAGTGATATTCTGTGCTCCATGCTGAGATTATGTCTTTGGAGACTTGCAAGAGACTTGGATCAGCACTTCAATACTCAACACCTTTTGAAGTAAATATCTTTGGAAAATGATTTGATTATGTTGCCATGTAAACATGGAAGAGTTTGTGGCTGTCAGTGAGAGTTAACTAATATGGAGTAGCTTGGAGATGGGAGGACGAGAACTGGGTGAACAGAAGCTCTTAGATTAGGGATGATTGTCTGACCTAGTCTACCGTCTCTGGATGAAAATTATTCATGAAAACTCTTCATGATCTCATTGAAAAAAGAACAGGGCATACTAGCACGGACAATTAAGTGATAATGCCCGAGAAGCCGGTGTTTGGAAGATATATTGGCACAGTTGTTGTTAGGCCAGAGACAAAGTTACCAACATATTCAAATAATGATTGACATATTTTCATTAAAAACTTTATTTTGATGAATTTATTCATACTATTTCTTCCACAAGATATAGTCTCGACACAAATCTAGGGTTGCTACCCAAGCCGGCTGGTCGTTCGTTCTATCAGTTCGGTTGCCAGAGATGTGACCCAGTCGTTCAGTCTTTTTGTTCTGTATCTATTCGTTCTAAATGTTCAACTGCCATACTGGCTGGCAACGTTCTTATCCCTTGCTTGCTAGCTAGCCAACAACAGCTAATTTACAGTCACGTTAAACAGTGCAGCCAGAATAACAACAGTAGCTGCCTTTGCATTTGTTTAAGCTGTTTTCTAGTGGCATTTATTTGGATACATCCATAACAATGAGTTAATGAGGCGCGATTTCGCCTGGCATAGAAAATGTGCTCTCGCGTCAGGACACTGTTGTTCAGAAGAGCTAGCCAACAACACAGCTAACACAATCACTTCAAACTGAAACTGGAAAGACTGCAAACTAGCTGCACTTTGTTTCGTTTGACCCTTTTTCAATTGACATTTCTTTGTATATATCCATACAAATTATGCCAGCTGATTCTTGATTTCGACTGGCTGAGAAAAGCTGTCTACCGGTCTGTCTCGTCTCGACATGTTCATTACTATGGGACAGCTGGAGATCGAATTTGAATATTGAAACAATGTTGCAAATGTCGGAGAGACAGACAGCAAGGTTTATAAAAATCTCCGCTGTTGAAAACTAAATGGTAGTCTAAAAGAAATGTGAGATAATGTCTAGATGCTTTTTATAGTGGAGATCAAGTTGATAAATTGCCTGGCTGGGCTGATGAGACAGTGGATTGCGCAGTCAGATGGAACAGTGTAAATAGGCATTTTAACGTCATAGATTTAGTCGGTGGTAACTTGTGAAATAGACACCAGCTGGAATGCGGTTTTAACCAATCAGAATTCAGGTGTCATGGTTCCACCCCTGTCACCAGAGGGCGGCAGAGACCGTCCTAGAGACAATAATGACACTCAGGTGTGTTCTATCACTAATTATGATTTCCCTTTTAAGAGAGGTGTGCTTTCTGTTTCCATTTGCAGAAGCTTGATTCGTTTGCCATGTGCGTTTGTCTCCTGAGTGAGTTTTCTAGCCCTAGTGTTTGTTGTTTTCCCAGTATTACTGTGATCCTTCTGTTACCAATTCTCAGTAAAGTATTTACATTTATCCAAAACCACTGATTCCTCATCTGGTCTCTTCTCTGCTCCTGTGTCCAACCTCATTAAGTCACATCAGGATTAGAACCACCCATTGTGTTATTGTTCATAACTTTGCATAACTCATTGTGGGCCCTAATGTTACATAAGTCTGCTTTGCTTGGATGAGAAGCTGCAGCCACACACCTTTACTCCCCTTCCAACTCAATTCTCCATGTGGAACTTCGATAGTCTTTTAACCAAACCAGCGTTTCAGTTAAAGTACAAGGTAATTGTTGTCAGCTACTTGCTGACCATGATATCACAGGATCCCCCACAACAAACAGGACATTACTCTGACAATGCATCTTCTAACTGGTAAGTTAATGGATAGGTGGAGTAGGAATCTCTGCCATTTGCATTCCTCCCTTGAGTCTGTCAAAGTCATGGCCATTTTCCTTTACTCCCCTGAGCACTTACGGGAGCCAATGATAACTGAATTTCAATGCTCTGTAAATTATCCAATTCATTCAAGCAAGGAACGTTGATAGAACCAGGCCGAACCTGCAGTGTGTTTTTCATGGTTTCAAAAAACGCATGAGATTTCTCAATGGGTTGACAGAAACTACTCGCCAAGGTTAGATAAGAAATTAAAATGTAATGAATGTGTACTTGGATAAGGTTGTGAAGGATTTATGTCCAATATAGCACAGTGTGTTATTGGATTAACATACATTTCAATGTTATATTTTATTATGGCCTTCGCCTTGTGTTCAGTGTAGCTGTTTGACTATTACCATAGTGGGGCATGCATTGCTAAGATACGGCAAATCCATTTGTTGAGTTCATTAAAGCTCTGGGAACTATTTGTCCTCGGTTAAGGATAACTTAATGCCTGGTTTCATTATCTCTCCTTTTCATTGGTGTAACTTAGCATCATATAAGATCTCTCTATCATTTAAAGACCAAGATAGTCCCACTTTCACACCATTGATTTACAAATAAATGCTATATTTCAGTAGTTTAATTTAGAAGATTGGTCACATGCTTAATCTGAATATATAGTATAACATATTTACCCACAAATAGCATAAATGACAGGAAATGTATGTTTTGGTTAGGCCGATGTTTAACTATTGCTGTTATTTATGCTCCTCCTGTGTCCAGGTGTCAGACAGGTGTGACTACGTGTTTGTGAACGGGAAGGAGATGAAGGGCAAGATGAGGATGATGGTGAACTTCACCTACAGTTACCTGAGTGCCCAGCTGGAGATGAACGTGTGGATCCCACGGCTGCCCCTCCAGATCGAGGTGTCTGACACAGAGCTCAGCCAGATCAAGGGATGGAGGGTGCCCATCATGACCAGCAAGAGGTACAGTAGAGCCCACCCACCAGCCACCCCCATTACTGGCACACAGTTAAGTCTAGTGGCTTAAAAGGAAGCACTAACTCTAAAATTAGTGTATGTTTTTATCACAAAAAATATTTATCAGAGATCAGGCTTGTGTTTTAATACCATTACATAATGTATTAAAATACCTCAATGTGATCTAATCTACAGAGTGAGAGAATTTAAATAGGAAACAGTGATTAGGGACAAGGCACAGAATATGTGTGTGTGCATGCTTGCGTGTGTGTTTTGTGACAGGTGTGACCTGTGCTGTAGCCTAATTCAGAGTGTTTCTATTAATTCCCTTGGCTCAGCTGGAATAGTGATGAGGAGGAGGATAAGAAGGGTAAAGGCTGCATGTTGCAGTTCCAGCATGCCCTGGTGCGTGTGATCACACACTTCATAGCCGAGCAGTCGGACCCCCGGGAGCCCCAGGCCTACTTTCTGGGCTCAGACTGGCAGGTGGACGTCACCAAGCATGTGCGCCATTTCCTCAAGGTGAAGGACCCTCGCATCGCCAGACTGCAGGCAGGCAGGGTGCTGTCAGGACAAGACATGGGGACCACCTCCATCCAGGTAACCATCAGGCCTGGTGGGATGCTTGACTGACTGCATGTTTAAACGGGCCTTTATCTATAGAGGTGACATTGGATATTATCATGACGTGATATTGACATTGTAATATTTAATGCTCTCTGTGTTTTGTGCCTGCACAGGTGTTCTCCCCCCTCTCTGACTCCATCCTGGCAGAGAAGACAGTGATGGTGGTGAATGACAAAGTGACCATCACAGAGCTGGTGGTGCAGCTGGTCACCGGCCTGGCTCTGTCCCTGCAGCTCAGCCCAGGAGGCAACAGGGTCATCCTCGCCACGGCAACGATACAGGAAGTGCTGCAGAGCCCCAAACAGGTGCCTTTTACGATCTTCTTGAATGACAATCAGATCAGACACAGGTATACTGTAGATTGAGTTTAATAATATTAAATATTGTTTGTTATTTGGTCTCCTCAGGAGGCTGCGGTTAGTTCCTGGGTCCAGTTCAGCGATGGCTCCCTGACCCCTCTGGACATTTATGACCCTGCCTACTACCGTGTGACACTGACCTCTCTAGACCAGGGCGTGGTGTCGGTGCAGGGCTCCCCGCCTGCAGTGGTGGCGGAGGGCGAGGGACAGGGTGTGCTGGTCAGGGTGGAGATGGCCATCTGCGAGGCTTGCCAGAAGTCCAAACGGAAGAGCTCTCTGGCCATGGGCAGCGGCAGCCTCAAGGTCAAGTTCCAGGTCAACAGCCGGCGCTTTGCCAGCAACAGTAGCAGCAGTAGTGGAGGTGGGGCTGGCAGTGGCAGCAGTAAGGACAGCAGCAGTGACTACGGGAATGATGGGGAGGAGATGGACAGTGAGAGGAAGCAGCAGCAGCCCCAGCAGCCCTTGCCCAGCGGCTCAGCCTCAGAGCGGGAGGAGAGCGTCATGCGCAAGGTCACCACCACAGCCAAATCCAGCGAGCGAGATGCCGCTAAGGGGAGCATGTCCAGCGGTGGCAGCAGCCAGGGCGGAATGGGCAGGGCCAGTGAATCAGGAAGTTTCTTAAATGCTGCAACCGTCAACAGTCCTGCCATCACCATCAACGACAGTAATGTTAGCAGCCCTAGTGACTATGGGACAGCTGAGGGGACAGACAATGGGCTAGTTGGAGATATAGGTAGTGTTGCAGTCAGTTGCACTGTGAAGACACCTGGTAACCTGGTCAACTACAATAACTTCCCCTCTCAGGTGGAGTTGCCTGACCAGGAGCGAGTGGAGGTGGACATGGGCAATGAAGACATGCTGTCTAACCGGCCTCTCTCAGACCTGGAGATCGGCATGTACGCTCTGCTGGGGGTCTTCTGCCTGGCCATCCTGGTCTTCTTGGTGAACTGCATCTCTTACGTAGTAAAGTTCAGGCACAAACAGCCCTCCTCTCACGGCCAGGAGCCCACGGGGCACAGGCACGACTGGGTGTGGCTGGGCACTGATGCAGAGCTGGTGATGAACGTGCCTGGCACTCCCCTCCAGCAAGACGACCACAGCACCACCACAGTCATAGACATTGGGCCTGATAAGACGGCCTCTCTGCCCAGGCAGCTTAGCTGCCTAGCCTCCTCCAGACCCTCCTCTCCTTTGGGCTGTGGGGGCTCCCTCGGGGCCAAGCCCTTGAACCGCACTGAGTCCCTCCACTCCCCCACAAGCAAAAGGAAGAGGGTCCAGTTCACCACCTTTGCCTCTCTGGACCGTCAGCACTCCCCAAACCTCCCCAGAGAGAACAGCCATGGCATTCACTGGGTGGGGAAGGAGAACTGTATTGAACCCCAAGTGCCCATCACAGAACCTGTGGACCATTTATAATACATATAGGGACCGTTTCACCCCAACTGTGGGTGTGTATGTGGCTTTGATTGCCTCAATGCCTTTATTTATGGCTAAAAGCAAGACACAACATAAGGAGCATCACCATAAGTGGTTATACTTATTCATTATCTTTGATTACACAAAGATCCCTTCTTAGTTTCAATATCTGTCAAGGCGTCTTACATGTAAATATCTCAAATACCTTGTGAGAGACATTTTTTATATTAGATATTGGAGAAGTTATTGTGAATAAGTGTGAGGATGCTTCTCACCAACCGACTGATGGCACTTTGTGTGGTGGAGAGAGGATAAAAAGTTTGACTCAGGCCAGTTGAAATGTATTTTTTTACCCAAAAAAAACAGGGGGTCTTGTTGCATGTGAAAAATGTAAAGCAGGGATCACCAACTAGATTCAGCCGCTAGCCAATGTCTTCTTTGTAGACTGCAAATTGACCGCAAGAAGCCAAAACAGATATAATATTTGACTATAACATAAACCTTCCTTACATTTGTACACGATCACATATACACTACATGCCCAAAAGTATGTGGACACCTGCTCATCGAACATCTCATTCCAAAATCATGGGCATTAATATGGAGTTGGTCCCCCCTTTGCTGCCATAACAACCTCCACTCTCATGGGAAGGCTTTCCACTTGATGTTGGAACATTGCTGCGGGGTCTTGCTTCCATTCAGCCACAAGAGCATTAGTAAGGTCGGGCACTGATGTTGGGCGATTAGGCCCGCAGTCGGCGTTCCAATTCATTGTCATTCTGAAACAGGAAAGGGCCTTCCCCAAACTGTTGCCACAAAGTTGGAGGAAGCACTGAATCGTCCAGAATGTCATTGTATGCTTTAGTGTTAAGATTTCCCTTCACTGGAACTAAGAGGCCTAGCCCGAACCATGAAAAGCAGCCCCAGACCATTATTCCTCCTCCACCAAACTTTATAGTTGGCACTATGCATTGGGGCAGGTAGCGTTCTCCTGGCATCTGCCAAACCCAGATTAATCTGTCAGATGGTGAAGCGTGATTCAGCACTCCAGAGAACGCGTTTCCACTGCTCCAGAGTCCAATGGCGGTGAGCTTTACACCACTCCAGCCTTGGTGATCTTAGGCTTGTGTGCGGCTGCTCAGCCATGGAAACCCATTTCATGAAGATCCCAACAAACAGTTAAAGGCAGTTTGGAACTCAGTAGTGTGTGTTGCAACCGAGGACAGACGATTTTTACTCGCTTCAGCAATCGGTGGTCCCGTTCTGTGAGCTTGTGTGGCCTACCACTTCGCGGCTGAGCCGTTGTTGCTCCTAGACATTTCCACTTCACAATAACAGCACTTACAGTTAAACCGGGGCAGCTCTAGCAGGGCAGAAATGTCACGAACTGACTTGCTGGAAAGGTGTTCTCCTATGACAGTGCCACGTTGAAAGTCACTGAGCTCTTCAATAAGGTCATTCTACTGCCATTGTTTGTCTATGGAGATTGCATGGCTGTGTGCTCGATTTTATACACCTGTCAGCAACGGGTATGGCTGAAATAGCCGAATCCACTCATTTGAAGGGGTGTCCACAAACTTCTGTACATATAGTGTATCTCTCTGTTATGCGTGGGAGTGCTTTGGAACAGATTTACTCAACAAAAATCACTTCTTTTTTTTTCTGCTCAGAAAACTTGGGGAAGAGCAAATAAAAATCACCTGCGGCCCACCAGTTGGGGAACCCTGCCCTAAAGGTAACAAACATAACATCCCTGTCTGATGAAAACCTCATAACTCCAATTTTTTGTTTTACATGTATTGAAAGCAGTAACTGCCTTCAATGTATTCAGAAGATTTCATCACTCTAGGACCAAAATGTATTCAAAGTAGCCTCTGTAATTTCATAATTGTATGTTCCTTAATGGGACAATATGGCAGTTTTTTCCATTTTCTGAAAGGTTTCTGTTGGATATGAGAGATTTTCATCCAACAGCTACGCAACTTAACGGGATTTTTCTATATGCACTGTTTGTCTTCTTATTGTGTACATTTCTGTTTGATTTGATTTTTGATTGTGTCTGATATGATTTTTCATTAAACATATCTGAATGATGTTTGTATTCAATAGTTCCACTGTTGCATATGTAGTTCTATGGTACTGATCATGTGAAATGTTTGATTGTAGACTAGACATTGCATTTGACTAATCTGTTACACTGACCGGAGCCCGACGAGCCCCAACCTTATACATCGGGTGAGGGACGGGTAGGGCCTATTTTTTAAATCAATGACTAGGGTACGGGCAGGGCTCCGTTATTACTAAATTGATTTACATTTTGATTCACTACATTTTGAAGCTGAGCCATTTGCGCGTGCTCTGCTGCGCAGTACAGTCATATGACTAAGATTATAACATGGTGTCAGAAGTGTTCCTTGTTTTGTCGAGTTTAGAGTTACAAATAGTTATCTAACTGCTCTCATGTCTCTTGAGTAGAGCAGCCCAAGCGGAGCCGTTGCTATGGATACTCGGACTCAGAGCACCATGAGCGGAGCGCATGCAGAGCGAGCTGCGCTCAGGGATATTTTTTCCACTAAATTGGTATTTTGACCAATCACATCAGATCTTTTCACATAAGCTCTTTTTCAGAGCTGATCTGATTGGTCAGAATTGGGCTGCCTGTCTAAAAGCAGGCTCAGTCACCAGATCTCAACCCAATTGAACACTTATGGGAGATTCTGGAGCGGTGCCTGAGACAGCGTTTTCCACCACCTTCAACAAAACACCAAATTATGGAATTTATCGTGGAAGAATGGTGTCGCATCCCTTCAGTAGAGTTCCAGACACTATGCCAAGGCGCATTGAAGCTGTTCTGGCGGCTCAACGCCCTATTCAAGAGATTCTCCGGTACTTTTGTATACTTTTTGAGGATTCATTTTGAAGGATGGACACCTTAACAGCAAAACACCATTTAACCATATTTTATTTGAAAATGATACATAAATAAGAAACAGCATATTCATATTTTTCATGAACTTTCATTACAAAGTGAAATAAATCAATAAAATAAGTTCAAAAAGTATTTCTGTAGGATTTTGGAAAATATCAAGTAGAGAAAACATGAGTAACAGCACAGCACCTACTTCTTTCATTGGACACCAATTCACCCATTCATTCAATAAGACTACTGCTGTGCTTTGAATGAAAGTAACCTCCACCTCCAGCACTTAGAACATTTCGCCAATCAATTTTGATTGTGCTGCATAGATTGGTCCGCATAGAATTAAAGTTAGACTCAGCGATATGACGAAGATGCAGAAAGTTACAGCATAGTGGGTCAATTTCTGCAACAACTAAGAGCGTTGAAGCGTGAGGCTCAACTTCTCCGCTGTTTTGGTGACCTGGCTCCCACGCTGTAACAGTGTGAAGCGCACCCATGCACATACTGTGTCCCACTGGGCACAGACGTCAATTCAACGTCTATTCCACATTTGTTCAACGTAATTTAATTGAGATGTGTTGAACCCAGTGGGGTGTGACTGTGTGAGAGCGAAGTCTTGCATCTCGCTCATCTCAATATCTGCGGTGCTGCTCGTGGCAACATCATTTCGCTGAGTCTGCCTTTAAAGCTTGAGAGCTAGAAAATACTTCTACACACAAGCGATACCTGATCATTAAAGCTATTTATCCCTTTATGGATGCAAGCACCTCTTTAGGCCTTTCCCACTGGGCACAAACTGGTTGAATCAATGTTGTTTCAAGGTAATGTGTCAGCGTATTGTGACATGGAATCTTTGTGGAAAATACATGGATTTGAAAAAAGTAATATACGTAAACTGTTGTTTTGAGGGTGGAATTTCAACCACAGGATTATGTCATCATTGTAACCAATTTTCAACATACACAGACCGTGTATAAAATATGTTGAATTTGTACCTTTGAAACAATGTCAGACCTTTAACATTATATCCACTATCAGAAAAAAAAAACTATAGGCTGGGCAGCACCTCCTACTGGAGAGTTGATCGATCTACAGCTATTAATTTGGTCTCCCATCCAGGGTTTTAACCAAACCAAGCCCAGCTTAGCTTTAATATTTATCACTGACTATTACCAATATGCTATCGTGAGAATGATTGTTGAGATCTCTTAACTAAATATATTCACTGTTATCAAAGTCATTCCAAAGGGTAGGTTTAACAAAGCAAATGAAACCATACTTTATAAGTCAAATAGCATCATTGATACTATTTCGGCCTATACGTATAGCAGTCATCAACAGCTTTTGTTTCAATTTAACCCAGGGTTTAACAAAAAATTACAATAAATATACAGTGCATTCGGAAAGTATTCAGACCCCTTCCCCTTTTCCACATTGTTACATTACAGCCTTATTCTAAAATTGATTCAATTATTTTTTTACTCATCAATCTACACTCAACACCCCATAATGACAAAGCGAAAACAGAAATACCTTATTTATATAAATATTCAGACCCTTTGCTATGAGACTCGAAATTGAGCTCAGGTCCATCCTGTTTCCATTGATCATCCTTGAGATGTTTCTACAACTTGATTGGAGTCCACCTGTGGTAAATTCAATTGATTGGACATGATTTGGAAAGGCACACACCTGTCTATTTAAGGTCCCATAGTTGACAGTGCATGTCAGAGCAAAACTGACATGCACTGGGGGGGCAAAACTATAATACATTTTGAATAAGGCTGTGATGTAACAAAATGTGGAAGAAGTCAAGGGGTGTGAATACTTTCCGTATGCAGTGTAGGCCTAGGGTTTCAAGCTTTGGTTGATTTCAAATGTTATCATTAATATGTTCGATTCACGTCTCCATCTGAACCTTAATTCTAAAAAGTTAGAATTTTTTCTAGTAGCACTTACTTTGCTGATAGCTACTTTATTGAGGAAAAATCTACTTACTATGACTGAGATATGGTTGTCCCACCTAGCTATCTTAAGATGAATGGACTAACTGTATGTCGCTCTGGATAAAAGTGTCTGCTAAATAACTAAAATGTCAATGTAAAGAATAGGACTAAATCAAATAAAACTTTGTTTAAAGTGCATTTCAAGTTTGATTACATTTAGTCCTATTCTTTAACTTAAGATTTTTGGTTGAGATGTAGATGTGAAGCCAACATATCAATTATTAATTTGTAGACAAACTGGATGGTCCTTGCTATCCAGAATCCTTGGAACGTCCCAACCCCATTGAAGTTGAAATGTAAAATGGTTAAAGAGCGACTGCCTTTAAAAAGCAACGAATCTCTTTGAAAACGGCATTGATATGAGTCAGAAACAGTTATTCTAGTGTCAAAATAAATAGGATAATTTTTCAAAAAGTCAGTCGTGGGTTTTGATTTGGTTGGGTTTTGATTTGACAACGTCCATTTGCCCACTAATATGGGGTGAAATGCTGCGGTGAATGCGCTCTATCCAATAGCATAGACATTGAGACAGACCTGCCCAGCAGCTCCGACTTTGTTTACATGAGACAACACGTCACACATTATTTTTACTTGAGACTGCACCAAACACCTTAGTTAGATGTAAAATTGCACAACTAAAACATCCTCTGCAAAAACGTTTAAATTAATTACAGATTTCTGCAGTTATATTAGATTCATTCTGGGAATTTTGAGGAAATGTCTCATGGGTACGAACATCATTAACCAAACGCGGAATCAGTCAGGAAACACACCTCCAAGACTGAAATCTTGTTTTTCTAATGAGCAACAGAAAAACACATGCCAATCGGCGTGTTCAGTGGCTCTTTAAGGTAAGGGTTAAGGTTAGGGTAAATGTTAAGGTTAGGTAAGGGTTATGGTTAAGGTTAGGGTAGGGATGTCCCAAGGATCCAGGATTGCACTAACCCAAACTGGATATGGTCAACGCAACTAAATATCAAAATTTGAAGGAGATGTATCTTCTGCTTGGGTAGTTCCATCTGTGTCACTGACTTAGGGCTCTATTCATTTGTATCGATTAATCGTATACAGATTTAATAGAGCCCTTGGTTGTTCCTGAGAGAGAGTAGGGTTGAGACAGAGGAGCTGGTTAGTCTGCGCAGCCTCAGTGCAGAGTGTCCACCAGCCTCTGGTAGGCCTCCCTCTCATGGTCCAGGCTGTGGTGCTCCTCAACGTAGCGCTTCCCGTTCGTCACCACACGCTCCCGCAGCTCCCCGTCTACCAGCAGCCTCTGAGACACACGCACAAATTCCTGGAGGTGGGGCAAGGACAATCAAGGCTTCAGAAGTTACTGAATGAAGCACACATCTGTACTAGTATTTTACCCAAAAATAAACATTCCACTTGTAATTTTATTTATTTATTTAACAAGCCTCTAAGAACCCATTAAAGCAGTGAGTTAATTAGGTGTAACCAACCACAGCAGTGAATGACATGAGGGAATGTTGCTATTCTGACTGGTAAACACTCATTGAATGTGCTCTGCCTTGCTAATTGATGGAGACATCTGTGACCAGTTTCAAATAGGCCCGTGCAATGGCCCTTTGCAACCTATTCTGATGGCTGCTGCTTCCTATTTGTTTATGAAGGGAGTGGAACACAAACAGTGTCTGTCTGCTGCTATTTAATGGCCCTGCCACACCAGCTGTCAGGATGAGATGGGGAGAAATATATCAAGCAATTACAAAATGAGTAATGACATTATCCCTGAGCACCGGTGGAAATGTTTGGAGTCCATAAGGTCCTTCTTGGATTCTGGCAGATTTTTTAGTGGCCTGGGAGGCTGCGACCAGGGATGTAACAACAGATTTACACAGCCTTTCAGTAAGGGCTCAGGCACAGCAGCCAAGATCTCCTGGAGCAGAGAGCCTTGTGGGTAAACAGAGCTGCAGCCAACGCCAGAGCATCAGGCCGTTTTACTTCACTCAAGTGATGTGATCATGTTTGGAGTGCCTCTTCATTTGAGTTGAAGCCATATGAGAGCCATGAATTCCCAGCAAAACCATTAAAAGTCAAGTTCTTCTATATTCAATGGACTCCATCAAAAATATACTACAGTCGTTCTGAAAATGCCATTCTGGTTATAGTGCTACAGGCATCCAAGTGCTTGATTTTTTGACAGCCTTTATAGTACATTTCGAACACTCTTGAGGAGTGTTATGTACCGTGTCAAATGAACAAGTCAACACCACAAATTGATGAATGGCCAATAACACATTATCAGCGCTGGGAAAGGCTTGAGCAACATGTAAATTATCCTGTGTGAAAAAGTTGTGTCAGCCAGAGAGTTTCAGTTGAAACAGCAGAAGCTGTTAGCTAGAAGTCATGGTTTAGCTAACCCTGGTCTCTGCAGCAATCTGTGTGAGGTTCCCCCTTGGAGGGATTTCTCCACGCCTCAGCTGAGCACACGTGACACGACCTCCCCTGGAGAGAAGAGGACTGACTTATCTCTTGGCATCATAGCAGCATTACGCTAATGTCGCCCTCCTGCCTGCCACCATACCATGCTGAGGACGTACCCACTGCCGGCTGACACCTACCGCTGCTCTCACATAAAACCTCTCTGAGCAGTTAGTTAAAGTGACCCTCCAAGGACCTCTCGCTTTCTCCACATGCCTGGTTGCTGCCGTGTACCATTATACAGTTCACTGGATACTGTTCACTGGTCTACATTCTCACTAAAGTCTAGGCCCCTAAGACATGTTGAATCCCTTTTTACCTACTTACGCACCACCAAACTATTATGTCATTTTGGGTTGTTATTTTAAGCCTAACAAAAAACTATAGCATAAAGATTGTGTCTAGTACAGTAGGTTAATACTCAGAAACAGCAGACTGTAATAGGGGAAAGACAGCCGCATTCTATGGTCCTTTGTAGCTGAGTTGGTAGAGTATGATGCTTGTAATGCCAGGGTAGTGGGTTTTATTCCAGGGACCACCCATACGTAAAATGTATGCAGCATGACTAAGTTGCTTTGGATAAAATTGTCTGATACTTGGTCCTGTGTAGCTCAGTTGGTAGAGCATGGCGCTTGCAACGCCAGGGTTGTGGGTTCAATTCCCACGGGGGGCCAGTATAAAAAAAACTCACTAACTGTAAGTCGCTCTGGATAAGAGCGTCTGCTAAATGACTAAAATGTAAATGTATATATTATTATTATATTCTTTTAGGTGGGTCTAATACACCTCAGTGGTAGGCTCAGTTATGTTGCTGCTGCTGGTGGCTGTCTTTCTTCTGCATTAGCCTCTTGCACAGTGGAAGTGAAAGTCATCTTACAGCTTTGACTGGTAACCATTGGAAGGGTTCTTACCTTAGGGGATGAGTAGAGCAGACCAGTGACCTCATGTTGCACCACCGCTGTGTTGCCTGGGATGTCACGAGCCACCACCGGTACCTCCAGATCCATTGCCTGAACAACACAATACATGACACAGACACAGCTACATCAAACCCCACACACCTGACTCGGGAACGGCTATTGTTAGCTAGCTGGCATCTTCTAGCCCTTAATTTACTTTACTTGTTGGTATCCCCTTGGGACTTAACTGTCATTAATTCAGGTAATACCTCATCAGAAGGTTCTGGAAGTGAAACATGCTAATCAGTGTTTAAGCCTTCTGTGGATTGTTTTAATCTACAGTGTTTAAAACAGATTAAGAGGATTACACCCAATTCTGGAAAGATAGTATGACAAGCTATTCATTCTCATAATTGCTCTGGTACAGGTCATTTAACACTTTAATCAAATAATACAAATGTTCCCAGGGTGGAATATTGGTGCCTTGAAAGAGCTGCATGTGACACCAACATATTATATTCTGAGCTGAATTAACAATATACATTGTGATAGATTTTGTGGGCGGAGCATGCCAGTGGAAATAATGACAATGATGACTGTAATGATAAAAAGATGATTGCTGACTTTGCCCCATATAGTGATCCCTCACCCCTGAGGATAAGCACCTCTAAAATGGCAGCGGACATCCCCTCGGAGACTGAACTGTTAACCAGGGCAGCTGACCTCCTCATAGCAGCATGGAGCTCCTCTTGGCTCATCTCCTGGGCCAGGTAAACCCCTGCTAACCTGGGAGAAACACAGCAGTAGCAGCACTCTGCGTGACACAGGGCTCACCACGGGGCACACACAGCCGTGAATGACAGGCAGGAGTGACAGGTGCAGGGCATGATGCACGGACCGCTGGCGCCACGGTGCAGTATGATTGACATGACATGCTCTGAAAGTACATGAAGTCCTAACCATAGAGAGACAGGGCTGTTTCCTCACTGTCTGAAACCACATTGACCAAGAGGTGAAGCCCTTTGGTTAATATCTCTCAGAACTGAGCCATGCCTCTGTCAGGGGGTGGAAAGATAACAAGCTAGACTACATCTTTTTAATTTACATTCTGCTAACACTACTGAAGACATAAGCAAAGTTTGTTTACATTCTTTCTTGGGCCACACGGGATAAAGCGTTAGATAAGCCTGGGTGTCTTTGAATTTCTCACATGAGCGGCAGGGTCCATATCAGTTTGGCAGATCTTTAGTCAGCGATAATGTTCTACTAAACTGATAACCATTAAAGAAAATTTTGAAAGGCTTTACCTTTTACTGATTGCTTCTACTTCTTCAGTAAACACAGGATCAATCTAAGAGAAAAATCAGAGAAAACAAATACTTTAAAATACACTTTTTGACATAACTATCTATTTGGTGGTAAAAACTGTCTATGTTCCACTCAAAGCACGTTAGACTTGATGCTGTTTAACTACACTGAACAAAAATATGAACGCAACAGACAACAATTTCAAAGATTTTGCTGAGTTACAGTTAATAGAAGGAAATCAGTCAATTGAAATAAATAAATAAATGTAGGGGCGTGGATCAGAAAACCAGTCAGTATCTGGTGTAACCACCATTTGCCTCATGCAGCACGACATCTCCTTCGCATAGAGTTGATCAGGCTGTTAATTGTGGCCTGTGGAATGTTGTCCCACTCCTCTTTAATGGCTGTGCGAAGTTGCTGGATATTGGCGGGAACTGGAACACTGTTGTACACGTTGATCCAGAGCATCCCAAACATGCTCAGTGGGTGACATGGCTGGTGAGTATACAGGCCATGGAAGAACTGGGACATTTTCAGCTTCCAGGAATTGTGTACAGATCCTTGCGGAATAGGGCCGTGTATTATCATGCTGAAACATTAGGTGATGGCGGCGGATGAATGTCACGACAGTGGGCCTCAGTATCTCATCACGGTATCTCTGTGCATTCAAAATGCAATTGCGTTCGTTGTCCATAGCTTATGCCTGTCCATACCATAACCCAATGCCACCATGGGGCACTCTGTTCACAACGTTGACATCAGCAAACCGCTCGCCCACATGACGCCATACACGCCGTCTTCCATCTGCCCGGTACAGTTGAAAACCAGGATTAATCTGTGACGAGCACACTTCTCCAGCGTGCCAGTGGCCATCGAAGGTGAACATTTACCCACTGAAGTTGGTTACGACATCGAACTGCAGTCAGGTCAAGACCCTGGTGAGGATGACGAGCACGCAGATGAGCTTCCCTGAGACGGTTTCAGACAGTTTGTGCAGAAATCCTTTGGTTGTGCAAACCCACAGTTTTATCAGCTGTCCAGGTGGCTAGTCTCAGATGATCCCACAGGTGAAGAAGCCGGATGTAGAGGTCCTGGGCTGGCATGGTTACACGTGGTCTGCGGTTGTGAGGCCAGTTGGACATACTGCCAAATTCTCTAAAACAATATTGGAGGCGGCTTAAGGTAGAAACATTTACATACAATTCTCTGGCAACAGCTTTGGTGGACATTCCTGCAGTCAGCATGCCAATTGCATGCTCCCTCTGTGGCTTTGTGTTGTGTGACAAAACTGCACATTTTAGAGTGGCCTTTTTAATGTCCCCAGCACAAGGTGCACCTGTGTAATGATCATGCTGTTTAATCAGCTTCTTGATTTGCCACTCCTGTCAGGTGGATGGATTACCTTGGCGAAGGAGAAATGCTCACTAACAGGGATGTAAATAAATTTGTGCACAACATTTTATAGAAATTAGCTTTTTGTGCATATGGAACATTTCTGGGAACTTTTATTTCAGCTCATGAAACATGGGACAAACACTTTACATGTTGTGTTTATATTTTTTGTTCAGTATATTTAATGAGCTTGAGCATTCGTTTATATTTCAAGAAAGTATTCATACCCCTTGACTTTTTCCACATTTTGTTGTGTTACAGCCTGAATTTAAAATGGATTACACTTAGATTTTGTGTAAGTGGCCTATACACAATACCCCATAATGTCAGTGGAATTTTTACAAATTAATACAAAAGATGTAAAGCTGAAATGTCTTGTGTCAATAAGTATTCAACACCTTTGTCATGGCAAGCATAAATATGTTCAGGAGTAAAAATTTGCTTAACATGTCACATAATAAGTTGCATGGACTCACTCTGTGTGCAATAATAGTGTTTAACATGATTTTTGAATGACTACCTCATCTCTGTACCCCACACATACCATCTGTAAGGTCCCTAAGCCGAGCAGTGAATTTCAAACACAGATTAAACCACAAAGACCAGGGAGGTTTTCCAATGCCGCAAAGAAGGGCACATATTGGTAGATGGGTAAAAATAAAGAAAGCAGACATTGAATAGCCCTTTGAGCATGATGAAGTTATTAATTACACTTTAGATGGTGTATCAATACACTTAGTCACTACAAAGATAAAGTCACCTTCCTAACTCAGTTGCTGGAGAGGAAGGAAACCGCTCCGGGATTTCACCATGAGGCCATTGGTGACTTTAAAACAGTTACATAGTTTAATGGCTGTGATAGGAGAAAACTGAGGATGGCGCAACAACATTGTAGTTACTCCACAATACTAACCTAATTGACAGACTGAAAAGAAGGAAGCCTGTACAGAATACAAATATTCCAAAAACATGCATCCTGTTTGCAACAAGGCAATAAAGTAATTCTGCAAAAAAATTTGCAAAGCAATTCATTTTTTTGTCCTGAATACAAAGTGTTATGTGTTGTATTGGACTTGCACATAACATTACTGAGTACCACTCTTCATATTTTCAAGCATAGTGTTGGCTGCATCATGTCATTGGTATGCTTGTAATCAATATGGACTGGGGAGTTTTTCAGGATAAAAAAAGAAACAGAATGGAGCTAAGCACAGGCAAAATCCTAGAGGAAAACCTGGTTCAGTCTGCTTTCCACCAGACACTGGGAGATGAATTCACCTTTCAGCAGGACAATAACCTAAAACACAAGGCCAAATCTCCACTGGAGTTGCTTACCAAGCAGACAGTGAATGTTCCCGAATGGCCGAGTTACAGTTTTGACTTAAATCTGCTTGAAAATCTATGTCAATGATCAACAACCAATTCGACAGAGCTTGCAGATTTTTTAAAAGAATACTGGGCAAATATTGTACAATCTAGGTGTGCAAAGCTCTTGGAGACTTACCCAGAAAGACTTACAGTTATAAACGCTGCCAAAGGTGACTGTAACATGTACAGTGGGGGAAAAAAGTATTTAGTCAGCCACCAATTGTGCAAGTTCTCCCACTTAAAAAGATGAGAGAGAGAGGCCTGTAATTTTCATCATAGGTACACGTCAACTATGACAGACAAATTGAGAAAAAAAATTCCAGAAAATCACATTGTAGGATTTTTAATGAATTTATTTGCAAATTATGGTGGAAAATAAGTTTTTGGTCACCTACAAACAAGCAAGATTTCTGGCTCTCACAGACCTGTAACTTCTTCTTTAAGAGGCTCCTCTGTCCTCCACTCGTTACCTGTATTAATGGCACCTGTTTGAACTTGTTATCAGTATAAAGACACTGTCCACAACCTCAAACAGTCACACTCCAAACTCCACTATGGCCAAGACCAAAGAGCTGTCAAAGGACACCAGAAACAAAATTGTAGACCTGCACCAGGCTGGGAAGACTGAATCTGCAATAGGTAAGCAGCTTGGTTTGAAGAAATCAACTGTGGGAGCAATTATTAGGAAATGGAAGACATACAAGACCACTGATAATCTCCCTCGATCTGGGGCTCCACGCAAGATCTCACCCCGTGGGGTCAAAATGATCACAAGAACGGTGAGCAAAAATCCCAGAACCACACGGGGGGACCTAGTGAATGACCTGCAGAGAGCTGGGACCAAAGTAACAAAGCCTACCATCAGTAACACACAATACGCCGCCAGGGACTCAAATCCTGCAGTGCGAGACGTGTCCCCCTGCTTAAGCCAGTACATGTCCAGGCACGTCTGAAGTTTGCTAGAGTGCATTTGGATGATCCAGAAGAGGATTGGGAGAATGTCATATGGTCAGATGAAACCAAAATATAACTTTTTGGTAAAAACTCAACTCGTCGTGTTTGGAGGACAAAGAATGCTGAGTTGCATCCAAAGAACACCATACCTACTGTGAAGCATGGGGGTGGAAACATCATGCTTTGGGGCTGTTTTTCTGCAAAGGGACCATGACGACTGATCCATGTAATGGAAAGAATGAATGGGGCCATGTATCGTGAGATTTTGAGTGAAAACCTCCTTCCATCAGCAAGGGCATTGAAGATGAAACGTGGCTGGGTCTTTCAGCATGACAATGATCCCAAACACACCGCCCGGGCAACGAAGGAGTGGCTTCGTAAGAAGCATTTCAAGGTCCTGGAGTGGCCTAGCCAGTCTCCAGATCTCAACCCCATAGAAAATCTTTGGAGGGAGTTGAAAGTCCGTGTTGCCCAGCGACAGCCCCAAAACATCACTGCTCTAGAGGAGATCTGCATGGAGGAATGGGCCAAAATACCAGCAACAGTGTGAAAATCTTGTGAAGACTTACAGAAAACGTTTGACCTGTGTCATTGCCAACAAAGGGTATATAACAAAGTATTGAGAAACTTTTGTTATTGACCAAATACTTATTTTCCACCATAATTTGCAAATAAATTCATTAAAAATCCTACAATGTGATTTTCTGGAAAAAATTCTAATTTTGTCTGTCATAGTTGACGTGTACCTATGATGAAAATTACAGGCCTCTCTCATCTTTTTAAGTGGGAGAACTTGCACAATTGGTGGCTGACTAAATACTTTTTTCCCCACTGTATTGACTCAGGGGTGTTTTTATTCTGTACAGGATTGTAACGTATTGACTCCTGAACTTATTTAAGTTTGCCATCCCAAAGGGGTTGAATACTTATTGACTCAATACATTTCAGCTTTTCATTTTTAATTAAATTTGTAAAAATGTCTAAAAACATTACTCCACTTTGACATTATGGGGTATTGTGTGTAGGCCAGTGACAAAATCTAAATGTAATCCATTTTAAATTCAGGCTGTAAGGGAGTGAACATTATTTATAATAAGGGTTACATGGAGAAAATCAGACCTCTCTGAAATGAAAATTGATGGCCCTCCTTTCAGCAAAATATATTTGACCTAAACCCTCCCTGAACGCTTAAAAAAAAAGAAAAAAGAAAAGTGACCCTACCCTTTACCCCAAATAATAACTAAAACAAAGTGGATTGCAGAGAACATGTCTACCGTTTACCCTCAATTCTTGGACAGACCAGAGCCTTAGATATGCAGTTTTAGAAACTATTCTTCGTCCTGCAAGCATTACATGGCAACGCAGGAAGGGCTGCGGGCCAGAAGGTTGTGGGTTCGCAGACCACTGTGGACAAGAGTAGGGGTGGAACAATCTCCTTTATAGTAAAAGCATTGCATTAACCCATCATCGTATTTGCAATTCCAAAAAAAAAACTCATTTTATAAACATGTCATGCAATTCTACGTCATTTTACATATTAGCAGAATATTTTTTTATACCACAGAAATGACAAACTAAGAATGGACAGAGAGATAGGGCTGTTCAGCTTATATGTCTCCAATGCCAAATAAGTGTCTTGTTTGCAACGAAACTGTCCCAGTTTGCAAATAATTAAAGCTGAGAAGTCATTAGGAATCTGAGCATGGTACTTTCAAAATGTTAGGCATATCTTTTCCACCCCAGACAGAGTAGGCCTACCGATGCAGGGAACATTTAAGCTTTAACTGCTGGCTACTCTACTTCTGTGTCTTAACCCAAGTGTTTCCCTAAAAGCGGTCTGGATTTAAACATATTATAAATGTACAGAAAGTGAACAGCTTAATCAATTGATAGTGACCCTCCCCCTTTCTGTACCATTGGTGTACATTTCGATCCATCCCTAACACAACAAAATGTGGAAAAAGTCAAGGGTTGTGAATACTTTCTGAAGGCACTGTATGTAAATGTCATATTTCTGTATTTCAGTAAATTTGCTAAATTTTCGAAAAACATGTTTTCACTTTGTCATTATGGGGTATTGTGTGTAGATGGGAAAATTGTGAATAATTCTCAAGGGGTATGAATACTTTCTGAAGTCACTGTACCTATACCCTCTATGACATAATGACAGCCATGCCTTAATCATGACCATAAGATATACAACAATGTCACAGCTTATCATTTCTAACATGCCCAAATCATTTTCTGAAAATCCTGTATTTTCAGAGATTGGGGTCAGGGTGGGGTGGGTGCCCAATCTGATTAATTGCGCTGTGGGATTTGTGTGCATTAGCTGGCCCACCGCAAAGTCCAAGCATCATAGCAATTTAGGTCAAAGATACAGCACGCAAGTTGGTGTTTTCCTTTTTTTTGTTTTATTGTCATGCTTATCACTTTTCAGAATTGAAATGTGATATTTAATGCGCATTTGTGTATCACATGCAAATAATCTTACTTGAGAATACTCAACATCCAGAAACAAAGCTAGGATTTACAAAGATAAAAAAGGGTCAGGAAGACAATGACATCAGTGATTACTATTCCTTGATATTGTACTGATACAGATATCAATATATGAATAGATTACTGGTAATATAATCGTTTTAACAAACTAGACAGAATAACAGAATCTGTGTGAAATTGTTTGGAGAGAGAGACATACCTTTATATCTTACCCATCAACCTTAAACAACTAGATTATCTTGCATTTAATAATTAGCAATACATCTCCAGCATAGTGTTTATTTAACATAGAACGGATGGATATTTTGTTGCCTTCATATCTTAGCGAACAGAAATAAATTTGAGCACAGACACCACTGTGTTTCATTTGATGTCGTCTACATGAATCACTAAAAGACTCTGCTTTCACTGAATCTTCTTATCAAACAACAACACAAACCACAGCAGAGCAGCAATAACATCAGCCTAGACAGTAGTGTGCCCCTGGCCAATTCTACTCAAAGATGCCTTTGAACAACGCAAAAACACAATAGACCTTTTTATGATACTGCTATTTCAGAGAATCAGTTAAACAAAAAAATACAAAAACAAAATTATTTGATGGCGTGATTAAAGCTGTCTGTGGGAGGAGGCCCACACAGAATCAATAGGAAAAAACAAAATGGTGGAGAACACACAAGAAGAGAGAGCAGGGGTAAAAGCACCAAGGTGGCCTTTGTCAGCTAAGGTACAGCCTCTCTTTGGCAGCCCTTCTCAGAAGATCAATACTCAAGCACAGAAAGTAGACTGCAATCAAATCAGTGGAAAACGTTCATGTTTTAGTGCTAGAGGTGAGAGCACCCTTCTTCCTGCTACTATGCAGTAATGGTGATTTCATCTGGCATTCTGGCTCTACTCTTTTTAACCAGGTTTTATCAACTATCATGCCAATGCAATACAAAGACTTTGAAAAATAGCAACAAATGAATCAAGACAGTGAAAGTGCATTATCAAATCAATACTATTTCATAAGCTGGTCATAATAATTGTAAATGAAATATAACTATTCATATTTTTTAATAAATCAAGCGAACCACTGCCCTCTTAACACACAGTATGTGACAGAGAGAGATCTATCAGCAGCCTAATCCCATGCTGCCCTCTATGACACTGGGGCCCAGTGGTGTGTGACCGTACCCCTGGCAGGGTGGAAACCCCTGGGTGGGCCAGACTATAAACTAGCCCAGCAGATTTCTTGGTGCTGGGGCTTGTCCAGTGGCTGCACTGCAGCAGTACAGTGGGCTGGCTGCTCTGAGAGAACAGGAAGGCAGAGAGTCAGGCAGGTAGGGGCAGCCCAGCACTGAAACTGTAACTCCCCCTGGCTCCTAAGTCTGCAGCTCGCGAGCCGCTCAATGCCGCCCGTTATTCCAGCTAATGCCGGCTAATGCTGTTCTTTGCCACATCCAATTAGAGGAACCTTTGACCTACCTCCGGAGGCAGGTTGCTGGCCGTGCACTGATCTGCTTTAACAGACACATGCAGACAGTAAAGGAGGTAAAAAAGGCTTGACCTCAGCTGTACAATCACCCTGATCCTATTATAGTCACTCACCTTAGGTCCGATGATGATGAGCACTACCAGGGGATTCTCAGTGTGCCACTCTGAAAGAGATCAACCAGAGACAGTGACTGATTTACTTTCCATGTGCTTCTGTGTGGCAATACAAATGTAAAATTAGCTCAAATACAATATCAGATAATGTAATTGTAGCAGGGCTTGTGTCCAGTGAAAGTCAAGGCAGAGGATGTACTTAGGACACCATATAGGGACTAGGTGGTAATCACGTACCTGAGAATGCCTCCAGCAGATAGAGAGGATCTTTCACTCTCCTCAGGCCACAGACCAGTAGGAACACATGCAGGTCCTCCACATCCTCCCCACTCACACCTGGGAGCAGACAGATAGGCAGGCAGGTAGCTAGAGCAGTGTATGACACAGACAGACAGCAGTGTATCACAACCCATTATAATTAACAGGGAAACTACCACACAGATAATGACAGCCATTCATCAGCCTAGGTAATGAGGAGGAGACAGCAGTGACTAATGCTCTAACATAACTCTCAGATCACAGCAGAAACATAGACGGAGAACAGAAGCGGTGGTTTATTGAAAAGCATTGGGAAGCTGTACTGTGTGAGTCATACAGACATCTGTTTCATAGAAATGTGTAATACAGCAGCTGGGAGTCACATGGGTGCATTCCTAAATTGAAATTGACTGACTCAATATCAGACTAACCACATCACTGCTTTTATACTGTATGAATTGAGAGGCAGACAAACTAAATCTGCTCTTTTCTCAGATCATCCACCTTCCATGCTTAATCTCCCCTCCCCCAGATTAGTGAGGTACTGGCTGGCCTGCAGTGGGCCTGGACCTCCATGCCAGTTACAACTGCACCTGACCTGCCAAGCAGATCAAAACACAATCTCCCCAGCTAACCCCTGCCCCTAATAACACACTTTGGCCTACTAGGCACAGCAGTGTGACTCACTGTCAACAGTATGACACTCCTAGTAGCATCACCCACCTGTCATGCAACGTAATAGAAGGGACCAGCAGAGGTAGAACTACTGCTACAGTAAGTATGATCTATAGGATAGTGGAGAGGTTATAGTGGTGTAGGTTAGGGGGTTACAGCTGTGTCAAGGTGTAGGTAGGGGGTTACAGCTGTGTCAAGGTGTAGGTAGGGGGTTACAGCTGTGTCAAGGTGTAGGTAGGGGGTTACAGCTGTGTCAAGGTGTAGGTAGGGGGTTACAGCTGTGTCAAGGTGTAGGTAGGGGGTTAAAGCTGTGTCAAGGTGTAGGTAGGGGGTTACAGCTGTGTCAAGGTCTGAACAAATATGGGGGCATGTGGAAAGATTATACCACTTACGGTGCAGTCGGAAAATATTCAGACCTCTTCACTTTTTCCACATTTTGTTACGTTAGAGCCTTATTCTAAAATAGATTAAATACATGTTTTTCCTCAAACTACACACAATACCCCATAATCACAAAGCGAAAACATTTAGGCAAATGTATACAAAATTCAAAACAGAAATACCTTATTTACATAAGTATTCAGACCCTTTGCTATGGGACTCAAAATTGAGCTCAGGTGCATCCTGTTTCCATTGATCATCCTTGAGATGTTTCTACAACTTGGAGTCCAACTGTGGTAAATTAAATTGATTGGACATGATTTGGATAGGCACACACCTGTCTATATAACGGTCCCACAGTTGACAGTGCATGTCAGAGCAAAAACCAAGCCATGAGGTCGAAGGAATTGTCCGTAGAGCTCTGAGACAGGATTGTGTCGAGGCACAGATCTGGGGAAGGGTACCAAAACATTTCTGCAGCATTGGAGGTCCCCAAGAACACAGTGGCCTCCATCAAATCAAATTGTATTGGTCACATACACATATTTAGCAGATGTTATTGCGGGTGTAGCGAAATGCTTGTGTTCCTAGCTCCAACAGTGCAGTAGTATCTAACAATTCACAAATCTAAAAAGTAAAAGAATGGAATTAAGAAATATATAAGTATTAGGACGAGCAATGTCGGAGTGGCATTGGCTAAAATACAGTAGAATAGAATACAGTATATACATATGAGATGAGTAAAGCAGTATGTAAACATGATTGAAATTACTAGTGTTCCATTATTAAAGTGGCCAGTGATTCCATGTCTATGTATACAGGGCAGCAGCTTCTAAGGCGCAGGGTTGAGTAACTGGGTGGTTGCCGGCTAGTGATGTATATTTAACAGTCTGATGGCCTTGAGATAGAAGCTGTTTTTCAGTCTCTCGGTCCCAGCTTTGATGCACCTGTACTGACCTCGCCTTCTGGATGATAGCGGGGTGAACAGGCCGTGGCTCGGGTGGTTGATGTCCTTGATTATCTTTTTTGGCCTTCCTGTGACATCGGGTGCTGTAGGTATCCTGGAGGGCAGGCAGTGTGCCCCCGGTGATGCGTTGGGCAGACCGCACCACCCTCTGGAGAGCCCTGCGGTTGCGGGCGGTGCAGTTGCCGTACCAGGCGGTTATACAGCCCGACAGGATGCTCTCAATTGTGCATCTGTAAAAGTTTCTGAGGGTCTTAGGGGCCAAGCTGAATTTCTTCAGCCTCCTGAGGTTGAAGAGGCGCTGTTGCGCCTTCTTCACCACACGGTCTTGTGTGGGTGGACCATTTCAGATGGTCAGTGATGTGTACGCAGAGGAAATTCAAGCTTTCCACCTTCTCCACTGCGGTCCCGTTGATGTGGATAGGGGCATGCTCCCTCTGCTTTTCCTGAAGTCCACGATCAGCTCCTTCGTTTTGTTGACGTTCAGAAGAGGTTATTTTCCTGGCACCACTCCATCAGGGCCCTCACCTCCCCCCAGGGTACCAAAACATTTCTGCAGCATTGAAGGTCCCCAAGAATACAGTGGCCTCCATCATTCTTAAATGGAAGAAGTTTTGGAACCACCAAGACTCTTGCTAGAGCTGGCCACCCGGCCAAACGGAGCAATCGGGGTAGAAGGGCCTTGGTCAGGGAGGTGACCAAGAACCCGATGGACACTGACAGAGCTCCAGAGTTCCTCTGTCGAGATGGGAGAACCTTCCAAAAGGACAACCATCTCTGCAGCACTCTACCAATCAGGCCTTCATGGTAGAGTGGCCAGACAGAAGCCACTCCTCAGTAAAAAGGCACGACAGCCCGCTTGGAGTTTGCTAAAAGGCACCTAAAGGACTTTCAGACCATGAGAAACAGGATTCTCTGGTCTGATGAAACCAAGATTGAACTCTTTGGCCTGAATGCCAGGCGTCACATCTGGAGGAAACCTGGCACTATCCCTACGGTGCATCATGCTGTGGGGATGTTTTTCAGCGGCAGGGACTGGGAAAATAGTCAGGATCGAGGGAAAGATGAACGGAGCAAAGTACAGAGAGATCCTTGATGAAAACCTGCTCCAGAGCGCTCAGGGCCTCCGACTGGGGCGAAGGTTCACCTTCCAACAGGACAACGACCCTAAGCACACAGCCAAGACAACGCAGGAGTGGCTTTGGGACAAGTCTCTGAATGTCCTTGAGTGGCCCGACCAGAGCCCGGACTTGAACCCGACCGAACATCTCTGGAGAGACCTGAAAATAGCTGTGCAGTGACGCTCCCCATCCAACCTGACAGTGTTTGAGAGGATCTGCAGAGAAGAATAGGAGAAACTCCCAAAATACAGGTGTGCCAAGCTTGTAGCGTCATACCCAAGAAAACTCAAGGCTGTAATCGCTGCCAAAGGGGCGTCAACAAAGTACTGAGTAAAGGGTCTGAATACTTATGTAAATGTTTTATTTCCATTTTTGTTTTTATAAATTTGCTGACATTTCTAAAAACCTGTTTTTTATTTGTCATTATGTGGTAGTGTGTGTAGATTGATGAGGGGAAAAAAACGATTTAATCAATTTTAGAATAAGGCTGTAAGGTAACAAAATGTGGAAAAAGTCAAGGGCTCTGAATACTTACCCGAATGCACTGTAGCAATTGATGCAGGCACTCAGGATAAAACTAAGAGTGCCCTTACCGGAGACAACCCATAGAAATTCAATTTCTGTGTCACGCTTGAACTCCTTCCAACCTCTAAGAAGAATGGGGGCTTTATAATGATCCTTACCTTAGTTGATGGTTCATGTGCTGTGCACCACTGAGATTTCAACTAATCTTATTTTGGCTGCTTAATATAAGAACTCAAGGTATACAGTAACAAATACAGACAGCTTCTTGGAATGAAACAGGGGTGATTAAAAGGCCTACAGTTAAGAGATATTGTCGCAATCTGGCCAACCAGCAATTAATGACATAGTTTATGAGTGTGACAACTACAGCAACTAAAAGGGTTGACCATAGGGAAGAAATAACAGGTTGTCAACAAACCAGGACTATGTTAAACCAACATGCAACTGATGCATTAAAGTAACCAGATCCTTCTCACGTTAGGTCAGGCAACAATTCTAACTTAAGAGTCTGTAAATCCACATGAGTCTCTGACATTGTGAAATTGTCATTGACCTAACAGGTGCGGTTAGTACACCCAGAAAATGAGACCGACAGCCATTACACAAAGGAGGATAATATAATGTACTACAGTTGAAGTCGTAAGTTTACATACACCTTAGCCAAATACATTTCAACTCAGTTTTTCACAATTCCTGACATTTAATCCTAGTAAAAATTCCCTGTCTTAGGTCAGTTAGGATCACCACTTTATTTTAAGAATGTGAAATGTCAGAATAATAGTAGAGAGAATGATTTATTTCAGCTTTTATTTATTTCATCACATTCCCAGTCGGTCAGAAGTTTACATACACTCAATTAGTATTTGGTAGCATTGCCTTTAAAATTGATTAACTTGGGTCAAACATGTCGGGTAGCCTTCCACAAGCTTCCCACAATAAGTTTGAATAATGAATTTTGGCCCATTCCTCCTGACAGAGCTGGTGTAACTGAGTCAGGTTTGTAGGCCTCCTTGCTCGCACACGCATTTTCAGTTCTGTGCACACATTTTCTATAGGATTGAGGTCAGGGCTTTGTGATGGCCACTCCAATACCTTGACTTTGTTGTCCTTAAGCCAACTTTGGAAGTATGCTTGGGGTCATTGTCCATTTGGAAGACCCAGTTGCGACCAAGCTTTAACTTCCTGACTGATGTCTTGAGATGTTGCTTCAATATATCCACATAATTTTCCCTTCCTCATGATGCCATCTATTTTGTGAAGTGCACCAGTCCCTCCTGCAGCAAAGCACCCCCACAGCATGATGCTGCCACCCCCGTGCTTCACGGTTGGGATGGTGTTCTTCGGCTTGCAAGCTACCCCCTTTTTCCTCCAAACATAACGATGGTCATTATGGCCAAACAGTTCTATTTTTGTTTCATCAGACCAGAGGACATTTCTCCAAAAAGTACGATCTTTGTCCCCATGTGCAGTTGCAAACCGTAGTCTGGATTTTTTAATGGCGGTTTTGGAGCAGTGGCTTCTTCCTTGCTGAGCGTCCTTTCAGGTTATGTCGATATAGGACTTGTTTTACTGTGGATAAAGATAAATTTGTACCTGTTTCCTCCAGCATCTTCACAAGGTCCTTTGCTGTTGTTCTGGGATTGATTTGCACTTTTCTCACCAAAGTACGTTCATCTCTAGGAGACAGAACGCGTCTCCTTCCTGAGCGGTATGACAGCTGCGTGGTCCCATGGTGTTTATACTTGCGTACTATTGTTTGTACAGATGAACGTGGTACCTTCAGGCGTTTGGAAATTGCTCCCAAGGACGAACCAGACTTGTGGAGGTCTACAATTATTTTTCTGAGGTCTTGGCTGATTTCTTTTGATTTTCCCATGATGTCAAGCAAAAAGGCACTTGACTCAAATGATGTCAATTAGCCTATCAGAAGCTTCTAAAGCCATGACATCATTTTCTGGAATTTTCCAAGCTGTTTAAAAGGCACAGTCAACTTAGTGTATGTAAACTTCTGACCCACTGGAATTATGATACAGTGAATTATAAGTGAAATAATCTGTCTGCAAACAATTGTTGGAAAAATTACTTGTGTCATCCACAAAAGCAGATGTCCTAACAGACTTGCCAAAACTATAGTTTGTTAACAAGAAATTTGTGGAGTGGTTGAAAAACAAGTTTTAATGACTCCAACCTAAGTGTATGTAAACTTCCGACTTAACTGTATTATTACCTATGCCTAATTGTCTACAATTGTTTGATTGGCATGGTCAGTAAATTAGACTTAAAAACCTGTATACTTGTCTATAATCAGTGGTGTAAAGTACTTAAGTAAAAATACTTTAAAGTACTACTTAAGTAGTTTTTTGGGTTCTGTACTTTACTATTTATATTTTTGGCAACTTTTACTTCACTACATTGCTGTAGAAAATAATGTACTTTTTACTCCACACATTTTCCCTGACACCCAAAAGTACTCGTTACATTTTGACAGGAAAATGGTCCAATTCACACACTTATCAAGAGAACATCCCTGGTCATCCCTACTACCTCTGATATAGCGGACTCACTAAACACAAATGCTTTGTTTGTAAATTATGTCCGCCAATAATAAAATAGTGTCATCTGGTTTGCTTAATATAAGGAAGTTGAAATGATTTATACATTTTAGCAATTCCATTTACTTTTGATAATTAAGTATATGTAAAACCAAATACTTTTAGACTTTTACTCAAGTAGTATTTTACTGGGTGACTTTCACTTGTACTTGAGTAAAAGTAAAGATACCTTAATAGAAAATGACTCAAGTATGACAATTGAGTACTTTTTCCACCACTGTCTATGACCTATTCTCTAATTTAGAAAATAATAATAATAATAGCTACCAATCAATTCCTAACAAATCTCTACCTCAATTACACATACAATACATACCAACTCCTGACACGGACTCACAAAAAAATATAATCCCACTCATAAGCAAATAAAATTGCTTGCACACACACAGAGCCAGTAAACACGTGACCGTGCTGCAGTGACAGACAGTGAAATCCCTTCCTGCCAGATAAGGCCAAGTCAAGAAGATAAGGCAGACATTTAATACTATTACAGAGCATCTTAAAATGACAGCGCACAGAGTGTGTGACAGTCAGGCCACTGACCCCAGGCCTGCTGGAGCGTAGGGAGGAAGCAAGCAGACTGTTGAATCCCAGCCAAAACCAATACAAAATAAAATAAAAAAAAACACTGCACTGTTCACAAAGGGGATGATTAAAGACACAAGCAGCACCAAGTGAGGTAGGGATCAGGGCCCTACTGTATCACAGCTTTCATTTATATAAAACAAAGCAGTAAAAAAAGATGTGGCGCATTGGTTACTTTTGTGAGATCAACAAAATCTCCCATCCACCCCATACAGTCTGTGCAGCATAAGACTCTGCAGCAGGGACATTGAAACCTGATACTTCAGCACTCCCTGATTTCCCCTTCCCTCCTCTCTTTACCAACAGCCCTATGGGACCTGGAGGAATACCACAACTCGGAACCTGTTTTTGTGACTTCCTTACCGGCCTTGTGAAATGTTCACAGGTCTATGATGCAATAGAGAAATAATACAATAATGTGTAATTTAAACTGAATTTCCTCCCACCAATTCAGGGGAGGACAAAGGGTGTCAGTTAGGATACAACCTTTTCACGACTTCAGATCTAAATGGAGACAGAGAAAGAATGTCGAAGAGCTGGAAAAAAAGTTCACAGGCCTGTCAAAGCAGGCAAAATAATCCAATACAAACAGAGAAAATAAAACCCTCCGGAGACTTAAAAACAATTCATCTTTCTTCAGGGGCGAAACTGAATTGGACAAATTGTCTGTTGTGCCAGCAGCATTTGTTTTTTGCCTGTCTCCTGTCCCTTGTATCGCAGAAACACTTTTTTGTTCTTCTGCCTTTGATCTTGAGGGGCACTTTGCATAGCTCCCTGTCATTGTTCAGTGTGTGTGTGTTCTGTGGCTCCTGTCAGTACGTCTGGGGACTGCCACATTGTAAAACATACTGAACACAGAGGCTAAATAAGAGCTTCTGAAACACTGCAGCTTTCCAAACATAATTTAAACGGAATTTAGGGCAAACCATAGGGAGTTAGACTTGGGACAGATTCAGAAAACCCATTCCCTACAGTGTAAAACCTGCCTTACCTCAGAAGACCCCTGCCTGTACCCGGCCCTCACCGCCCCCTCAACCCCCGGTGATCCACCAGGGCTGTCTGTCACTCACCAGCCTGCTCTCCTTGGCCCTGCACCTGCCTACACCCTCAACCCCACAGTGCACACAGCAGGGGGGCACCACTACTGATACTGAGCCTCTTTGATGGAGCTGCAGCCTCAGGATCCTCCTAACACTACACTCTCTGCCCTTGGAGGTTTCACCACAACCAAAGGGTAATACAGAGACAGAAGCATCTTCAATCAGGCAGCTGGGTTGCCTGGGCCTCATGTTCCACTGAGGTGGTACACTACATGACCAAAAGTATGTGGACACCTGCTCGTCGAACATCTCATTCCAAAATCATGGCATTAATATGGAGTTGGTCTCCCTTTGCTGCTATAACAGCCTCCACTCTTCTGGGAAGGCTTTCCACTAGATGTTGGAACAATGCTGCAGGGACTTGCTTCCATTCAGCCACAAGAGCATTAGTGAGGTCGGGCACTGATGTTGGGCGATTATGCCTGGCTCGCAGTCGGCGTTCCAATTCATCCCAAAGGTGTTCGATGGGGTTGAGGTCAGGGCTCTGTGCAGGCCAGTCAAGTTCTTCCACACCGATTTCGACAAACCATTTCTGTATGGACCTCGCTTTGTGCACGGGGGCATTGTCATGCTGAAACAGGAAAGAGCGTTCCCCAAACACTTGGAAGCACAGAATCGTCTAGAATGTCATTGTATGCTGTAACGTTAAGATTTCCCTTCACTGGAACTAAGGGACCTAGCCCAAACCATGAAAAACACCTCCAGACCAATATTCCTCCTCCATCAAACTTTACAATTGGCAGTATGCATTGGGGCAGGTAGCGTTCTCCTGGCATCCGCCATACCCAAATTCGTCTGTCGGACTGCCAGATGGTGAAAAGTGATTAATCACTCCAGAGAACGCGTTTCCACTGCTCGAGTCCAATGGCGACAAGCTTTACACCACTCCAGCCGATACTTGGCATTGCGCATGGTGATCTTAGGCTTGTGTGAGGCTGCTCGGTCATGGAAACCCATTTCATTAAGCTCCCGACAAACAGTTATTGTACTGACGTTGATTCCAGAGGCAGTTTGGAACTCGGTGAGTGTTGCAACCGAGGACAAACTATTTTTACATGCTACACACCTCAGCACTTGGTGGTCCAGTTCTGTGAGCTTGTGTGGCCTACCACTTCGCGGCTGAACCGTTGTTGCTCCTAGATGTTTCCATTTCACAATAACAGCACTTACAGTTGACCGGGGCAGCTCTAGCGATGCAGAAATTTGATGAACTGACTTGTTGGAAAGGTGGTATCCTATGACGGTGCCACGTTGAAAGTCACTGAGCTCCTCAGTAAGGCCATTCTACTGCCAGTGTTTGTCTATGGAGATTGCATGGCTGTGTGCTCGATTGTAACACCTGACAGCAACGGGTGTGGCTGAAATAGCCGAATCAACTAATTTGAAGGGGTGTCCACATACTTTTGTATATATAGTGTATCTTGGAGTGCGCTCCCTGGGCCATGACTCTCCCTTAGATTAACATTCTACCCTCAAAGACCCCCACACACACATTTTGAGCTTAAAAGGGCCTACTCTAACCTACATACAAGAGGAGAGTTTTAGTTATCTGCCATTCTCACTGTGTGTCATGGTGCAATTGCATGGGAGGGCACAACAAGCCTTGTTTGGCAGAACGAACATGCTCTGCTTTACTTTGAGACAAAACAAAAGGAAAGAAAAAAACTGATATTGAAAAGGAAAACATGCAGATGAGAAAGGGTCCCCCACTGTGCCGAAGTGTGTGTGAAGACATGGAGGGGACAAGTTGACAGGATAGGCTAAAGGATTGATCTCTTTCTGACGCTGGAGGCGTTGATTCTGCCAGCACGTTTTGTTGTGTCTGAGAAGAGCCGAGAATTAAAGTTATGAAGACTGAATAATTATTATTCTGGGAGTAGAAATAGGACCTCAGCATGCCAAAGTACAAAAGAGGGAATATAACAACTAATCTGGTAAACAACATGGAAACAAAGGCATCCAACAAGAATCTAATAACAACCACAAGACTGCATGAAAATCAACTCTTTTTCTGACACTGAAAAATATATATATTTTTAAATACTAAAAGGAGCCTACAATTTGTAACTGTTAATTAATTCTGGTTTCCATGTTACAAAGTTGTATTAGTTGGATGTACAGGATACACATGGTATACACCGTACCATGTCCAGGTAGGCAGGATATTGCATGCTTTCTCACACACAAACATGCAGAGAAAAACAGCACAGGCAGTCTTTTTCACACCTTTATATTAGAAAGTATTAAACTACAAAGAATCAACAGCTGAGCAGCCACTCTTCTCTCATGTATACTGAATGGGGAAGTGACTGTTGGCAATCAGTATTACTGGCACCAGTGTAGAAACCTGGTTAGGAATGGCCTTGTATGGGAGAGCTATTAATCACAGGGTGTTGGAGAGCTGCATTCCTGAACTGCCCTGAGCTCTGATGTACCTGGGATGGAAATCGTCCTACAATGTTCAATTTAAAGTCAGGGCTGTGTGTGGGGAAGCTACTTTGAGTAATGACATACATTTAATATGGTGGTGGTGGGATAGGGACTGAGAGGAGTAGATGGAGCAAGCGAGGAGAGAGGGACGAGGGGGAGATGGGTGAGAGATGGGTGAGAGCGAGAGAAAAGGGCTAATGTGCATGTCCTCCAGGTCTTCTTCCATGTTGTTGCTTAAAAACCTGTCATCTATGGTTTATTTCCCCGATTTGTTTCCAAGTTAACTTTTGTGAAAAAAGTACCTGAGCGCCTTAGAAATTCCCTCCAGCTGAAGCTCTGAGCCACCTCAGTCTTGATCCCTTCAGAACCAAAGAAAAGAAACAGTGTGTCTGTGAAAGAGGCCACATCCAAAGGATAGGTCATTGTATTTTCCAAGAAAGAGTTAAGTAATATTAATGGTCCATTGCAGCCGTTGTTATCTCAATATCAAATCATATCTGGGTAACAATTAAGTACCTTACTGTGATTTAAAATGATTAAAAAAAAATAAAAAAACTTCTTAGCAAAATAACATTTCTCAAGCAAGAATTTTGCTAGGACTGTCTGGGAGTGGTCTGAGAGAGGGGCCTCATTAAAAGGAGCCTAATGGGAGGGATATGTAACCTTAAAACTATCAGTTATTGGCAGAGAGGAGGGCAAACTCACTTTGTTACATGTCACCAGGCAGTCCAAAAACCACACCCAGCCAAACAAGATGAAATCTCAGACAGTCTTTTTAAACAGCTCAGATACTAAAAGTGCATTATAATCATTTTCACAATATTATTCCAACCTCATAGTGTAGAAATATAAAACACTGAAAAATCTATTTTTTGACTGCACTGCCCGTAATACGGACATATAGTATGCCATCTGTGGGAGGTAACTTCGGGGTCATAGGATTAATTATCATTTACTGAAGTCCCTGACTTTCTCAAAGGTTCATATCTATCATTAGGTCGGCCTCCTCCATATGAACACGCTAATGTGCTCTGCATCTCCGTGCAACTTATCACACATACTCCACATTGGGTGATGACGATTAACCACTACTGTGTGACATGAGGTAAGATAACACATCTGGGATTGCTACCTGCTGACACGTTACATCTTTCACAGGTGGGTGCATGCATCATGTTTTGTTTGTGCTGGTCCGGGGCACTATTGGCTCAGCAGACTTGCGGCTTGGAGACCTACAGTACACCTCTCTGTGCTGCTTTGGGCTGACCCATGTGGTGTGACAGATAGCCAATGGCAAGAGCGACTCAAAATACTCTACTGCAGCATGTTATGGTGGGAGAACTGCCAAAGCTGCTTAATGCAACAGCAAATACTGCCACAGACACACAGGGAAGCACAGCTATGGGCAGTGAATATTTCATCCTGCAGAGCTTACCTTGCGGCTGGACGTAGATTTTGCTGCTTTGGGACAGCTGGGAGAATGAAAACAGAGAATATGATATTGGAAAAAATACTGAAAGTTGAATGCAGCAATTTAAACATAATAAATTATTTGCAAAGTAAGACATACCCCATTAAGTAGCACTAACAAGTATGGTGACAAGCAGTTTCATAACAGAATATTTTTTCTCCCACAGATAACTGTTAGCAATAATATGTGTACGGTTATCTTTTCTTTTTTTGCGTTCAATTTGCAGTGTACAAATTATTTATAACTGCTGTATGTTCCGGCCCCCCGACCTCAGGGAAAAGGGGATGGTCGGGGGGCCGGAACATACAGCAGTTATAAATAATTTGTACACTGCAAATTGACCGCAATAATCACAAACAGATACAGTATTTGACAAAAACACAATAATTTCAAACCTTGATGACATTGGGATAGGATCACATATGCCTCTCTATGCGTGGGAATACTTGGGAACAGATTTCCTAAATTAAAAATCACTTTGAGATAGATTTGCTGTGGAAATTATCTTTCTTGGTAATCTAATTTAACCTTGGCATATTTGTATACAGTGCCTTCAAAAAGTATTCATATTCCAAATGTTGTTGTGTTACAGCCTGAATTCAAAATGGTGAAAAGTGAAAACATGTTTTTAGAAATGTCAGCAAATGTATTCAAAATGAAATACAATAGGATTTTGCCTGTGCTTAGCTCTATTATGTTTATTAAAGACTCCTGAGTCCTTGCCGATGACACACATACCCATAACATGATAGAGCCACCACCATGCTTGAAAATATGAAGAGTGGTACGCAGTGATGTGTTTGTTGTGTTGGATTTGCCCCAAACATATAACGCTTTGTATTCAGAACATAAAGTTCATTTGGCAAATTTTTTGCAGTTTTACTTTAGTGCAAACAGGATGCATGTTTTGGAATATTTTTATTCTGTACAGACTTCCTTCTTTTCACTCTGTCAATTAGGTTAGTATTGCGGAGTAACTACAATGTTGTTGATCCTCAGTTTTTTTTAACTGTAACTGTTTTAAAGTCACCATTGGCCTCATGGTGAAATCCCTGAGCGGTTTCCTTCCTCTCCGGCAACTGAGTTAGGATGGACACCTTTATCTTTGTAGTGACTGGGTGTATTGATACACTATCCAAAGTGTATTAATAACTTCACCATGCTCAAAGTGATATTGAATGTCTGCTTTTATTATTTTTACCCATCTACCAACAGTTGCCCTTCTTTGCGAGGCATTGGAAAACCTCCCTGGCCTTTGTGGTTGAAATTCACTGCTTGACTGAGGGACCTTAGAGATAATTGTATGTGTGGGGTACAGAGATGAGGTAGTCATTCGAAAATCATGTTAAACACTATTATTGTACATAGTGAGTCCATGCAATTTACTATGTGACTTGTTAAGCAAATTTTTACTCCAGAACTTTAGGCTTGCCATAACAAAGGGGTTGAATACTTATTGACTCAAGACATTGGAGCTTTTCATTTTTAATTAATTAGTAAAAATGTCTAAAAACATAATTCCACTGACATTATGGGGTATTGTATGTAGGCCAGTGACACAATCTCAATTTAATAAATTTTTAATTCAGGCTGTAACACAACATGTGGAAAAAGTCAAGGGGTGTGAAGACTTTCTGTAGGCACTGTGCATCACCACCGCAAAATAAGCATAAACAGTCATCACCAAGTGAAAGGGGTGAGCCCATGCCAATAATTCACAGTTGATGGAAAAGTAATTGACTGGATGTTATCACACAGGCTAGATCTATCCCTCATGTGTGTTTCAATAAAAAGCGTGGCACAAACTCCCTGCGCCTGCCCTGATTGCATGCTGTCACTGCTAGATGACAGTGATAAAGCGTGCCATTCACCTTAATCTGGAAATAAAACATGGTAATATTGTTTTATTGCCATATTATTATGGGACAGGGCAGGATATTGTGTTTTGGTTAGTAAAACCATTCAGTTTTATTTATTGTGGCTGTCAGGTTCCTGCTGTCTTTTGATGTGCTGTAAAATGGAAGTGAAAAATATTTAACTCGCTTCCACAATGACCTCTGAGATGGCTTGCCCCTTTAGACTGCCATGTTTTGGCTATCATTACACATATCACACACATCATTTTGCACAATATTAGCAGAAATCTCCATTACGACTGCCATGTTCTCAATACAGATTTATATTAACATTTCAATGAACCAGCTCCTGTATAACTGAGAGACATACTGTAATTAAACACTATGGTAGACTTAAAACACAACTGGCCATGTACTTGAATGAGCCAGCTTTGAACCCCCACTTTACAGTAAGTGTACTTGCTTGGTTTAAAATGATCATATGTGAGCACTGTACTACAAGTAGTAGTTAAAACTGATGAATGAATCATAGCTACCAGAAATACTTCAGCCTCTGCCTTCAGTTTGTCAGTAAATGCAACAGCAAATCTGTAAAAAATAAGAAAAAGAAAACCCATTACTTTACATTTTAGTCATTTAGCAGACGCTCTTATCCAGAGCGACTTACAGGAGCAATTAGGGTTAAGTGCCTTGCTCAAGGGCACAGACAGATTTTTCACCTAGTCGGCGATTAGAACCAGCAACCTTTCAGTTACTGGCACAACGCTCTTAACCACTAAGCTACCTGCCGCCAACTTTAGTTAATGGTCATGGACAGTATGATAATAAAATTGTCTTTCCGGGTTGGCATCTATGTCACACCTTTCCAAACAATAACAGTTGAGAAAATATCAGAGCAGAAATCAAAGGCAATGACAGCAACTCCACAAAAACCTCCTAACTGAGGATGAGTAGGTGAGGGTGGAGAAGTTGCTGCTGCTGGTTTGAGGAAGGATTTGTGCGTGAATTTATATGTTTTTTGGGGGGTCTGATACCAATTCAGATTTTTTTGGAGACAAACCTAACTGATACCGGTATATCTGTCGATATACTGTTTTACAGCAGGAAAATGAAAAAGTGACATTTACCACACAGACTTCTCAAATTGCCTTTAAAAGGAGCAATTGTCCAATATAAGAATGGCCGCAAGTGTTCAGATAAGCATGAGATTCCCTTTTTTCACCCTATTTATTGTATATCGGTTATTGGTGGAATAGAATTATCGCCGATAACGATAAAAGGCCAATGCCGGCTGATAATATCGGTGAAACGATATATCGGTCGGGCTCTACTAAGAATGCAAAGGGAATGTTGAACAAAAGACAGTAGTGTGCTATATTTCGTAAGGATTGTGAATTGGGCCAACAGGCCTAGCTATGGGTGACTGAATTTCATGATCAAGGTTTGTGAGGAGAGGCGGTAACAGCAGGAGGTGCCATGACTGAGACGTTTGAAATCATGGGACCCAGTTTACACCAGTGCTCCCCAGAGGCAATTATCCCTTTAGACTCACACTAGATGGGTGTTTTACGGTCTGTAAAATCAAACAACACCCTTGAAAATAAAGACACAAAGTTCTCTGTGAAATAAGACGTATAGCCTAGGCTCAGATATTGATGAGCCAATGCACCACTAGCCAGCAGCATTAGGGGCAGGGCGGGATCTCGGGAAGACAGAACACACAACCAGCCCAGCTGGGGTTAGCTTCACTGGTAAGACAGTTCAACCTCACTGTTTCATGCCAGTAATACAGACCATAGAAGGTATCCTAGTGGTAGCTCATAGTAATCCTGTCTTTATTTTCACACACATTCACGCTGTACTTCAGCAAAACCCCTATGGTGGACTATCCACTATATACAGAAACAGTGCAGTCAAGGCAGCAATTACACAAGTGTTGTGTGTGTGTGGTCTTAAAATGTGATACTGTAAATTATAACGTATTCATTCAATAGCAAGTTTATCTGTGTTATATTTTTCCGATCAACTGCATGTGCTTTTTGGTCATGTGTTCAGGGGTAGGCTTATTTAAAATTGCATAAAAGCAAGGGAACTGTCCAGAGTACAGTAGTTGAAAATGGTTAGCATGCATTCTGTATGCATGCTCTGTGGTTCAACTGGACATTAATGGTTTCCAAATCTAGAGTCTGAGAGGCTTGACTTCACCTGGCTTTCAGCAACACCTGCTCCATAACTGCACGTTTCTGCTCAACTTTCACATCTTCATTAATGTCTGTTCCGCCGAAGACTACTCCAAAGGGCACTTGGGTATCTGGTATAAAGAGTAGAAAAGGGGGGTTATTTTAAGGATGTTGATACATTTGAAGGAGTTGGAACCTTTATCCTTATATTATTAGCTAGTTTAGCTACTATGAATGACATTATCAGTACAATTCACCTCAATGAAAGGGTGAATCAATAAGGGAATAAGAAAAGGTGATGAGGCAAACACAGTGCCTTCAGAAAGTATTCACACCAGACTTATTCCACATTTTGTTGTTACAGCCGAAATTCAAACAAATTTCCTCACCCATCCACACACACACAAATACCCCATCATACCAAAGTGATTTTTTTGCAGTTGACATTTTTGCAAATGCATTGAAAATGAAATACATAAATATCTAATTTACATAAGTATTCGAACCCCTGAGTCAATACTTTGTAGAAGCACCTTTGGCGGCGATTACAGCTTTGAGTCATCTTGGGTATGTCTGTATCAGCTTTGCACATCTGGATTTGGGGATTTTCTCCCATTCTTCCTTGCAGATTTTCTCAAGCTCTGTTAAGTTAGATGGGGAGCGGCGGTGAACAGTGATCTTCAAGTCTTTCCACATATTTTCAATGGGATTTAAGTCTGGGCTTTGGCTTGGCCACTCAAGGACTTTCACATTCTTGTTCTGAAGCCATTCCAGTGTTGCCTTGGCTGTATGCTTGGGGTCATTGTACTGTTGGAACATAAATGTTCACCCCAGTCTAAGGTCATTAACACTCTGAAGCAGGTTCTCATCAAGGACTGGCCTGTATTTGGCTCCATTCATTGTTCCTTCTACCCTAACCAGTCTCCCAGACCCTGCCGCTGAAAAGCATCCCCATAGCATGATGCTGCCACCACCATGCTTCACGGTAGGGATGGTGTTAGACAGGTGATGAGCTGTGCCTGGTTCTCCAGACATAGTGCTTTGCATTCAGGCCAAAGAGTTCAATTTATGTCTCGCCAGACCACTGAATATTTTGCCTTATACTCTGAGTCTTTCACATGCCTTTTTGCCAACTCCAGGTGTGCTGTCATGTGCCTTTTTCTCAGAAATGGCTTCCGTTCCATCTGGCCACTCTCCCATAAACTCCAGATTGGTGAAGTGCTGTAGAGACTGTTGTCCTTCTGGCAGGTTCTCTCATCTCATCCAAGGAACTCTGTAGTTCTGTCAGAGTGGTCATTGGGTTCCCTGACCAAGGTCCTTCTTGGCAGAGTCTGGGTAGTTCCATATTTTTTCAATTTCCCAATGATGGAGACCACTATGCTCTTGGAAACTTTCAACACTATAAATAGTTTTATACCCTTCCCCAGATATATGCTTCATCACAATTCTATCTCGATGATCTACAGACAGTTCAGTGATATTGTTTGATACAGTTTCAGCTCTGACAGGCACTGTCAACTGTCGGACCTTATATAGACAGGTGTGTTTCTTTCTTAATCATGTCCAAACAATTGAATTGGTCACAGGTGGACTCCAATCAAATTGTAGCGACGTCTCAAGGATGATCAAAGGAAATTGGATGCACCTGAGCTCAATTTGAAGTGTCATAGCAAAGGGGTGTGAATACTGATGTAAATGCGGTTCTGTATTTCATTTTCAATAACATTTTAAAACACATGTTGTCACTTTGTTATTATGGGGTATTGTGTGTAAAAAATATATTTAATAAATGTTGAATTCAGGCTGTAATACAACAAAATGTGGAATAAGTCAACAGGTATGAATACTTTCTGAAGGTACTGTAACTTCACCTAGAAGGAGCCTGCCTCCTTTGAACAGGTGAATGGCAATAGCACCCTCGAAGGGTGGCTTCTGTTCTATCAATCTGGCCACCTCTACCGATGACTTGAAACCCGTAGCATCTCGAAGCTCACAGGTGTGACCCGCTGATACAATGTGTGCCCTGAAATGAAAAGATTGTAGCTTACAGTTAGCTAGCACTATAGCTATTTCTCGATGTGTAGGTTTACTGGATAGCTAGCTAGATAGGAGCACATCTTCTTATTCTATGGTATATTGGCAATTGCACCATTTCATGTGCATCCCGCCACCTACTGTGCGGGATGGAAACAGGATTCCCACCCGAAAATTTTACAAACTACCAAAAATAAAATAAATAAAACAAATTTACTGTTAAAAAATAAACAGATCTGATCCCTACACAGGCTCAAGGGGAGCCTGGGAGTGCGGGCCATCTTCCGGCACCAGTACCCCTTGCAAGTCTTCAGATGTAAAAGTCCTAAAAACTTTTCTGCCGCAGCCACAATAATGTGCAGTTTCTTAGTCTTCTTTGAGACTTGAGCCATACAGTTTATAACTGTGGCAATGAACACCACAAAAATCTAATTTTTTAACACACAGGGTATCTTTTGACTGACAGCAAACATTTACAACAGGCTGTGGTGCATCCACTACCTAGGATTACTTGTTTTCTCAATTATGTTAATAGCCTCCGCATGGGAGATTCGAATGGTCGCTCTAACTTTTGCCACCTCAAACTCTTTCACCCCAGGAACTCGGGATCATGATCCCCACCACAATTGCAACACCGTCGTCCTTCTTCACAACGTTTTTCAGTATACTCCATCCGTCTGCACACACTTGAAACATGGCCAAAACCTATAGAGTTATTACACTGCAGTGGTTTGGGAACGAAAGCTCTTACATAACCAAGCTTCACATGTGTAGGTAGATGCTCTTTATCAAAAAACAACAGGACCGACAGAGGCTTTCTTCTTTTTCTCCATTCACCCAGGTCAGACGCCGGGCACCAACCACACCAGGAATTCTCTTCAGGAATTCAACCTGAAAATCCGTTGTCACCCTTGAGATGACTCCTTTGACGAGTGCTCTACTCCAAAGTTCAAAGCACAAAACTTCTGTTGTCCGGATTCTTTTGAGGCCGACTGCAATCTTCCTCTGTTCTTCAGAAATACAATGAATCAAAATAAGAACACTACTGGTAACTCTGACAGACTCCACTTTTCCCAGCGCATACTTCACCATTTTTTCACCTCAAATGGGTTTCCCACATATGCATCCTTACTTAACAAACGCATCCCAACAAGAAGTGAATCATTATCATTCATAGACGTATCCTCCACTCCTATTTTAGACAATTTCCTTTTTGATCCAGTTTTCGACACTATGGTAGTCCATTCAGGACATTCATCTTCACCAACTTTGCTCGACGCGCTGCTTGATTCGAACTCAGCATCCACTTCCGCCATTTTACTCCAACTCCAATCTCCTATTAACGAAATACTTTAATTCATTTATTCTGTTATGTTCGCTTCATCGGCAGTTCGGCACTGACATTTCTCCGTAAACGAACCCCCCTCTTCCTCCTCATGTTAACATCCGATCCGTCTCTAGGCGTTCATGTTTTTGATTGATCACGACTGATTCCCCGATGGGAGCGCTGATCCAGCTGATATTAGCCAATAGATTTGACAGCCAATGACAGGCGAGGTGGGTACTGACCAGAGCCGTGCAGTTAGATAAATATGTGGCTCTGGCACTGAACATTGAATGGGAATCATTGGCCATTATTAAGCATGTATTGCAGATCCAACAAGCTATGATTCCTTCTTGTATGCTAAGTCAATTGAGTTCCGGTTTCCAATCATTTAGTTCCCACATTTTCCTGACAGTGAGCTAGCTAGCTAGTACGTTACTTCCTTGTTTTCAAGACAACCCAAAAGCTAGCTATCTAACGTTACCTTATTCTCTCGGCTGTGGTGCAGTTTCCCGTTTTTGGACTGAGGCATGCAAGGAAAAGCAATTTCATAGTTATACCTAGGGCTGTCTCTTCATTTACAATTTGAATAGAGGTTAGATATAAAAAATAATGTTCAATTAGTGTAGAGCTGCCTGAATTACATGCTGTTTATAGTTCATCCTGCTGACACCCATGAGCTACGTCAACGTTGGCACACGTGGGACTGTTGTTTACAAATGACAGTCCGTCTTTCATAATGTTCCCCTGGAAACGAGGAACCTCTCTCTGGCCCCCTCCAGAAAAAGCCTCAGAAAAAGCCTATACCCCTTGTACAACCTAGCTACCATGTAAAAAAAACAATGTAGCTATATATGTATTTATATGGCTATATTTTTTATTCGTTTTATTCAATTTGGAGTACTCTGATCTTCATTCATGACACTCAAGAGAAAGAGGAACTGCAAGTCCTGCAGGAAGTGTTGAAATAATAGTGTTGAATGACTTCCTTTTCGACCAATAGATTATAAGTATGTACCATTCTGGCCAATGGATCTGGGCTAAAATACGACAGTGGGTAGAATTAACATAACTCAACTATGTGCATCTAAACAGCACAGCAAATGCACAAATCACAGATTTGTAAACTGTAGGGATTGACTGGCTCAGTCGCTCAAACTGTCAGTAGTTGTATGCGAAGTCGTTCCATCTGTTTATGGTATGCGGAAAAAAGCACAATTTAGACTGTTGAAGGAGTTTACAGTCACGCGCTAGTGCTGTGACAGGCAGTGTGATTGTCAGTTTCATTACATTTACCCGAGTAGCTAGCTAGCTATTCGCTTTTCTGAACACATTGATTTTGTGACAGGTCGAGCAAATAAACTGTTAAGATAGGAGGCTAAATGGCAGACGTTGGAACGTATCATTCATTAAAGGTACTGTATACTACTTCTCAATGTTATGATGCGAATCATCATCGTGCTAAAGCTAGCATGCTGATGTCATGAACCGCACCAAACTTTGTAAGCTAGCTAATATTCCATACCTTAGTTAGCTATTTTTAAAAACAAGTATCTCTCAAGCTGAACTGGACCACCCTGTTGTAATCTCTCCAACATCTTAACTATTGCAACTATTGTCATAACACTACGTATCATTGTATTTTAATCATCTCGTGGTCATTTTGTTTAGGTTTGACGTTTTTCCAGTAAACATTTCAAGTCAACAAGTCAGCTAAAGATGGCCAGCAGGGATGCCAGTGAGAGCACCCCTCTTTTGGACAGCAGCTCTGTGACTGTAAACAGACCTGTGTCAGTGTTCCAGGGTAGAAGACTGGCATGTGCAACTATTCTGCTGGCAGAATCATTGGAACGAGTGGCATTCTATGGCATCACTTCCAACCTGGTCCTTTTCCTCAACAGTAGCCCATTTTATTGGGAGGGAACTCAGGCCAGCCAGGCACCACTGATGTTCATGGGGGTTACATACCTGATCTCACCATTTGGTGGCTGGCTGGCTGATGCATATCTGGGAAAGTTCTGGACCATTGCTGGCAGTTTGATCCTGTACTTCCTTGGCATACTGTTTTTCCCATTTATCGCAAGTACAGACTCCAGGAATACCCTGTGTGGTGATGAAATGGCATTTCCAGTGCAACCTGCTGAGTGTTTGAGCATAAACAGTACCCTTCCAAGCAATGTGACCTGCCCCACACGGGCACCTTACTGTGGGCCAGTGATCTACACTGGCCTTGTTCTAATTGCCCTTGGTGTGGGAACAGTGAAATCCAACATCACTCCATTTGGGGCAGACCAGGTACAGTATATCTTATGAGTAAACAAAGCAATCCCTCTAAGATCTCTTATGAAAACTTAATGAATGCTCAATTTATTATGCTATCCAATCTAACATAGCCTAATTTATAAAGCCTGAAAGGTTCTAAACATGATCTTACTTTGGTCAGCCTTGTATATGGACTGAAATGGTAATTGTAGAATAGGCAACATTTTGATGTAGTATGCCTGTCATCTCTCTTGGTTTACCATGATAACTCAATCTGCAAGACCCCTGCTGGTTGTCGCAATTTGTCATTTGCATCATGAGGTTTACATTTGGTTAATGCCATCAATCAGGTCAACACACCAGTCATCTGAGGCTGAGAAGAATGCTAGATGAGTAATTGTACATCAACATAGGAAGTGAAACTCACATCTGTCTCTTTCTTTTTCTCATTGAAATTAAGGATTAGGCCTACCTATAAGACCCTTCATGAAAGAGGAAAGCCCATTGCAGTGGGAAATCTCTGAAAGGTTTCATTGTTATTCAAATCTAGCTAAACCACACTGGCCAAAATAGTTATCAAAGAGGTGGTGACTTTGATTAGCACATATTTCAATTCCATCGTCATATGATTTTCAATTGTTTTTTCTTGCTACATTTTTAGTGGATGATTGGTTTAGAGACACCTTTTTTTCATTTTGATTGGTAAATGTTTCATGTGGGATACAAAAAGTAATATTGGGGTAAAATGGTCCATGCCACTCAGTAAAATTAGTTGTTCACCTTCAAAACATTATTAGATTAGCCTATTCATGAGTTAGTGGACAGTCGTATTGCTTTTCACAAGGTTACTTCCCCTTTTTTGAAGCACGGAATAGAAGGAAGATATTAGCAGTGTAGGATGCATCACGTGGTAGTTATACAATCATTTGCTGCCATTGAATGATGGGATTTACAATAACATATTTCCTATGATTAGGCCTACTGTGTATTTTAGATGGCCATACATGCCCATGTTAGGTCTAGCCTATGTCTTGAGTTTGATATAATACTGCAATTCAGTTTTTTTTCTAAAGGATGCTGATGGAGTACAGAGGTTGAATGATGATGAAATTGGTTGCCATAACAAGCCTTTTTGCTTCACAGGTAAAAGATCGCGGCCCAGAGGCCACTCGCAGGTTCTTCAACTGGTTCTACTGGTGCATCAACCTGGGGGCCATCTTGTCCCTAGGTGGCGTGGCTTACATCCAGCAGAACATCAACTTCCAGTTGGGGTACATCATCCCAGCTGTGTGCCTGGGTGTCTCCTTTCTGGTGTTCCTGCTGGGGCGTACAGTCTTCATCAACAAGCCTGCTGACGGTAGTGCCTTCACTGATATGTTCAAGATCCTGGGTTATGCCTGCTGCACCGCACAGCCCAAAGAGCCCAACCTGCTACGGTAAGAGGGGCCAGCCAGATCACCATTGTGTTGCTGTTACTTAGTAGTACTATCAGTAGATGGATGTGGGCTTGATCAAGGTTGTGAATGAGGCTGGGCTCTCTCTGATCTCGATGGACACCCAATACTCTTAACTTTATAGCAAACATCTTCAAATCTACTTTAGGATTTAAAAAAAGAAAGCTATGTGGTCCTGTATAGCTCAGTTGGTAGAGCATGGCGCTTGCAATGCCAGGATTGTGGGTTCGATTCCCAGCGCCACCCATATGTAAAATGACAAAGAAGCTTGCTTACAAGCCCTTAACCAACAATGCAAAGTAAAAAAAAAATAAAGAAAAAAGTGTTAAGCAAAAAAACCGGGTTGGGGGTGGGGGGGGCAGTGCAAATAGTCCGGGTAGCCATGATTAGCTTTTCAGGAGTCTTATGGCTTGGGGGTAGAAGCTGTTGAGAAGCCTTTTGGACTTAGACTTGGCGCTCCGGTACCGCTTGCCGTGCGGTAGCAGAGAGAACAGTCTATGACTAGGGTGGCTGGACAATTATGAGGGCCTTTCTCTGACACCACCTGGTATAGAGGTCCTGGATGGCAGGAAGCTTGGCCCCAGTGATGTACTGGGCCGTACGCACTACCCTCTGTAGTGCCTTCCAGTCGGAGGCCGAGCAGTTGCCATACCAGGCGGTGATGCAACCAGTCAGGATGCTCTCGATGGTGCAGCTGTAGAACCTTTTGAGGATCTGAGGACCCATGCCAAATGTTTTCAGTCTCCTGAGGGGGAGTAGGCTTTGTCGTGCCCTCTTCACGATTGTCTTGGTGTGTTTGGACCATGATAGTTCGTTGGTGATGTGGACACCAAGGAACTTCAAGCTCTCAACCTGTTCCACTACAGCCCCGTCGATGAGAATGGGGGCGTGCTCAGTCCTCTTCTTTTTCCTGTAGTCCACAATCATCTCCTTTGTCTTGATCACGTTGAGGGAGAGGTTGTTATCCTGGCACCACACGGCCAGGTCTCTGTCCTCCTCCCTATAGGCTGTCTCATCATTGTCGGTGATCAGGCCTACCACTGTTGTGTCGTCGGCAAACTTAATGATGGTGTTGGAGTCATGCCTGGCCATGCAGTCATGGGTGAACAGGGAGTACAGGAGGGGACTGAGCACGCACCCCTGAGGGGCCCCCGTGTTGAGGATCAGCGTGGCAGATGTGTTGTTACCTACCCTTACCACCTGGGGGCGGCCCGTCAGGAAGTCCATGATCCAGTTGCAGAGGGAGGTGTTTAGTCCCAGGATCCTTAGCTTAGTGATGAGCTTTGAGGGCACTATGGTGTTGAACGCTGAGCTGTAGTCAATGAATAGCATTCTCACGTAGGTGCTCCTCTTGTCCAGGTGGGAAAGGGCAGTGTGAAGTGCAATAGAGATTGCATAATCTGTGGATCTGTTGGGGCGGTATGCAAATTGGAGTGGGTCTAGGGTTTCTGGGATAATGGTGTTGTGAGCCATGACCAGCCTTTCAAAACACTTCATGGCTACAGACGTGAGTGCTACGGGTCGGTAGTCATTTAGGCAGGTTATCTTAGTGTCCTTGGGCACAGGGACTATGGTGGTCTGCTTGAAACATGTTGGTATTACAGACTCAGTCAGGGACATGTTGAAAATGTCAGTGAAGACACTTGCCAGTTGGTCAGCACATGCTCGGAGTACATGTCCTGGTAATCCGTCTGGCCCTGCGGCCTTGTCAATGTTGACCTGCTTAAAAGTCTTACTCACATCGGCTACGGAGAGCGTGATCACATAGTTATCCGGAACAGCTGGTGCTCTCATGCATGCTTCAGTGTTGCTTGCCTCGAAGCGAGCATAGAAGTGATTTAGCTCGTCTGGTAGGCTTGTGTCACTGGGCAGCTCGTGGCTGTGCTTCCCTTTGTAGTCTGTAATAGTTTTCAAGCCCTGCCACATCCGACGAGCATCAGAGCCGGTGTAGTACGATTCAATCTTAGTCCTGTATTGACTCTTTGCCTGTTTGATGGTTCGTCGGAGGGCATAGCGGGATTTCTTATAAGCGTCTGGGTTGGAGTCCCGCTCCTTGAAAGCGGCAGCTCTAGCCTTTAGCTCATTGCGGATGTTGCCTGTAATCCATGGCTTCTGGTTGGTGTATGTATGTACAGTCACTGTGGGGACGACGTCATCGATGCACTTATTGATGAAGCCAGTTACTGATGTGGCGTACTCCTCAATGCTATCTGAAGAATCCCGGAACATATTCCAGTCTGTGCTAGCAAAACAGTCCTGTAGCTTAGCATCTGCGTCATCTGACCACTTTTTTATTAACCGAGTCACTGGTGCTTCCTGCTTTAGTTTTTGCTTATAAGCAGGAATCAGGAGGATAGAGTTATGGTCAGATTTGCCAAATGGAGGGCGAGGGAGAGCTTTGTATGTGTCTCTGTGTGTGGAGTAAAGGTGGTCTAGAGTTATTTTTCCTCTGGTTGCACATTTTAACATGCTGGTAGAAATTAGGTAGAAAGCGCCACTATGTGTTGTTGGTAGCCCTTTATGTTAAACCTTTCTTTGATCCCCAGCCTGTACTGTATACGTTTTTTTTGGTCCTTCCTGGCATTCATCATCATTCGTTGTGGAGGAAAGTTATTTCAATGTTCTGTTGCTTGACTTTGAACCTAAGTAGCATAATCAGTCCAAAAACTTGACATTTCATGTATTTAGTTGGTCAATCCTGCAGCCTTTCAAGAATTCCTTATTAAGGCTTTTTATCCAGAGATGGGGATTATAGGCTTTAGTGTAACGTTTCTGCCCTTTTTCACTAGAAGTGTTGTTATTTCAAAGGAGAGACATTCACAAAAAACTCCTAATTAAGTCTCTTAACTCCAGAATTTAGTTGAATAGTAGCTGAGTTTATGTTTATGGGATATTTACTCAATTGTACGGCCCCTATCAAATCATACAGTAGCAGCTTTGTATGTCTTTAAAGTTGTTAAAATGTGTTGTTGTATTTCTTCTCTCGTTAAGGGCTAAACCGACCATGCTGGACAGTGCCAAGGTGACGTATGGAGGGAGATTCCCTGAGGAGAAAGTGGAGGAGGTGAAAGCAATGCTTAAAGTTCTCCCAGTGTTCTTTGCTCTTATCCCATACTGGACTGTATACTTTCAGGTGAGAGATATTTATTTACCTATCCTCCTTATGGTAACAAAAAGGCTTTCGTTTTCATAGATCTAAGCAACATTAATTAACATCAGGATCAAGCACAGTAGGTTTGTTCAGTGTTTTTGCAGGCAAAATAGCATCACTTAAGAAATATGAATTTTATTTTCACTGTGCTGTAGATGCAGACAACGTATTTCCTCCAGAGCCTACATCTAAGGATTCCTGACACCAGCACAGGCACCAACAGCAGTGACGGCACCCTCCAGGTAAACTCAAATTGAACCCCAGCTGATTTGGATGGCAGTGTTGTATCTGTCTAAGTGCTGGCATGTGTGCTATGATTATACCCACTAGGCAGAGATGTGATTTCAATGTCTAGTTTTGATTTACATTTGATTGAATTGTCAACTAATGTGGAATTCAATGAGAAATCAGCAAAAACATTCACCATGTTGTTGGATCTAGGTTAAAGGTTTGGTGAAAAAAAGACTGAATTCCTTTCCGTTTAAGACTTTTTGCAAATCCAATCAGTTTTCCACGTTGATTCAACGCCATCACATTGAATTGTTTTGTTGAAATTACGTGGAAACAACATTGATTCAACCAGTTTTTGCCCAGTGGGTAGTCACTGTTGCTCTGAACAAATGCTAGAAAGCATAGTCTGTCACATTTTGGGCATTACTCGAACTTGAAGGTTAAATATCACGTTTTGTTTGTTGGCAGACAGCCCCACAGGTCCAGTTGGCTGTCTCTGTCTAACCTGATTTTTAGAATGGGAAGGATTAGTTTCCCTGTAGAAAAAGCATCAGAAACAACAGCTGGAAGCAGTCAAGGTTGCTAAAGCCCAGAGGATTAAATCTAAAGTTTGACCCTCTCCCTAATCACAGATAAACAACCTGGTTTTTCATTGTCTCTTGTGCTTCGGTCAGACATTTTTTTCCTGGGTGATGCCTCTGACTAGACTAGGCTAAATATCCTCTGTTGTAGTGTGTGCCCCAGTATCTCCCAGGGAGTAGCCTATGTGAAGTGTTTAGTTAGTCCACATCACATACTTTGACTACAAATAGGTAAGAGACTAGCACCTGTTTGGGTTTGTTGCTACTTTTAGATTCAAAATCTGACAGGCATTTGAACATACACATGCATAGGGTGATAAGGGAAGTGTGTAGAGTAAAATGTGAACTGAAACACTTTCTCTTTAACCACACATTCTAGGGTGTTAAAACATCCACCATCTTAAAGGGGGAAATCCGTAGTTGAAATAATAACAAAGCTCTCCCTGCCACTGTTTCAGTAAAAAGTTGAGGGATGGGGCATGAGAAATGTAACCACTCTCAAATTCATAGACATAGCTATGGATGCAAGGACTGACCATACATGATATCAACATTATAGTTTTAACCATGTTTTGAGGCAATAGTGTTTTTTTACTTTTACTTTGTTTACAAACATTGGAGTAAAATAATCGTATATTTTGTGTTCTGATAGGGTACGACTGTTGAACTAAGCTTATGAGGCATTTATAAGTTATATTCTTCAAGAATCAATGGATACATATTATTAATTTCTATGTCGAAAAATGTACACTACCAGTCAAAAGTTTGGACACACCTACTCATTCAAGGGTTTTTCTTAATTTTTACTATTTTCTACATTGTAGAATAATAGTGAAGTCATCAAAACTATGAAATAACACATATGGAATCATGTAGTAACCAAAAAAGTGTTAAACAAATCAAAATATATTTTATATTAGAGATTATTCAAATAGCCACCCTTTGCTTTGTACACTCTTGGCATTCTCTCAACCAGCTTCACCTGGAATGCTTTTCCAACAGTCTTGAAGGAGTTCCCACATATGCTGAGCACTTGTTGGCTGCTTTTCCTTCACTCTGCTGTCCGACTCATCCCAAACCATCTCAATTGGGTTGAGGTCGGGGGATTGTGGAGGCCAGGTCATCTGATGCAGCACTCCATCACTCTCCTTCTTGGTAAAATAGCCCTTACACAGCCTGGAGGTGTGTTGGGTCATTGTCCTGTTGAAAAACAAATGATAGTCCCACTAAGCCCAAACCAGATGGGATGGTGTGTCGCTGCACATTTCTTTGGTTACTACATGATTCCATGTGTGTTATTTCATAGTTTTGATGTCTTCACTATTATTCTACAATGTAGAAAATAGTAAAAATAAAGAAAAACCCTGGAATGAGTATGTGTGTCCAAACTTTTGATTGGTACTGTATGTAGCAACTGCAGATTGCCCCTTTTTTAAAGATCTAAAAGAGCAAAAACATGCCACTTATTCTGTTTTTCATTTGTATTTCAATACTACCTGTTAAAACAGCTTTCGGGTGAAATGGCCATTTCTCAGAAAGTGATTCTATGAAAAGGTCTTTACATTCTGAAGTATCATTTAAACTGGAAATGTTATTGCTTATTTTCATTCTCAGCATGTAATATTTCTGTTTCCAAAAAAAGGAAGTGCTTTTACCATACTCTAAGCAGTCATCAAATAGAAAATGGAAGTGAGATTAGATATCTTTACTTCAGTTATGTTGTGCGCCTTTATTTCTGACGACACATTTGAGCTGTAACTTACAGAGAATACAGTTGAAGTCGGAAGTTTACGTACACTTAGGTTGGAGTCCATTAAAACTTGTTTTTCAACCACTCCACAAATTTCTTGTTAACAAACTATAGTTTTGGCAAGTCGGTTAGGACATCTACTTTGTGCATGACACAAGTAATTTTTCCAACATTTGTTTACAGACAGATTATTTCACTTATAATTCACTCAATTGAGTGGGTCAGAAGTTTACATACACTAAGTTGACTGTGCCTTTAAACAGCTTGGAAAATTCCAGAAAATGATGTCATGGCTTTAGAAGCTTCTGATAGGCTAATTGACATCATTTGAGTCAATTGGAGGTGTACCTGTGGATGTATTTCAAGGCCTACCTTCAAACTCAGTGCCTCTTTGCTTGACATCATGGGAAAATCAAAAGAAATCAGCCAAGACCTCAAAAGCAATTGTAGACCTCCACAAGTCTGGTTCATCCTGGGGAGCAATTTCCAAACGCCTGAGGGTACCACGTACATCTGGGCGGCAGGTAGCTTAGTGGGTAAGAGCGTTGTGCCAGTAACTGAAAGGTCGCTGGTTCTAATCCCCGAGCCGACTAGGTGAAAAATCTGTCGATGTGCCCTTAAGCAAGGCACTTAACCCTAATTGCTCCTGTAAGTCGCTCTGGATAAGAGCGTCTGCTAAATGACAAAAATGTAATGTAAAAATGTACAAACAATAGTACGCAAGTATAAACACCATGGGACCACGCAGCCGTCATACCGCTCAGGAAGTAGACGTGTTCTGTCTCCTAGAGATGAACGGACTTTGGTGAGAAAAGTGCAAATCAATCCCAGAACAACAGCAAAGGACCTTGTGAAGATGCTGGAGGTACAAAAGTATCTATACAGTAAAACAAGTCCTACGTCGACATAACCTGAAAGGCCGCTCAGCAAGGAAGAAGCCACTGCTCCAAAACCGCCATAAAAAAGCCAGACTACGGTTTGCAACTGCACATGGGGACAAAGATCATACTTTTTAGAGAAATGTCCTCTGGTCTGATGAAACAAAAATAGAACTGTTTGGCCATAATGACCATCGTTATGTTTGGAGGAAAAAGGGGGTCGCTTGCATGCCAAAGAACACCATCCCAACCGTGAAGCACGGGGGTGGCAGCATCATGCTGTGGGGGTGCTTTGCTGCAGGAGGGACTGGTGCACTTCACAAAATAGATGGCATCATGAGGAAGGAAAATGATGTGGATATATTGAAGCAACATCTCAAGACATCAGTCAGGAAGTTAAAGCTTGGTCGCAAATGGGTCTTCCAAGGGGACAATGACCCCAAGCATACTTCCAAAGTTGTGGCAAAATGGCTTAAGGACAACAAAGTCAAGGTATTGGAGTGGCCATCACAAAGCCCTGACCTCAATCCTATAGAAATGTTGTGGGAAAAACTGAAAAAGCGTGTGCGAGCAAGGAGGCCTACAAACCTGACTCAGTTACACCAGCTCTGTCAGGAGGAATGGGCCAAAAATTCACCCAATTTATTGTGGGATGCTTGTGGAAGGCTACCTGAAACGTTTGACCCAAATTAAACAATTTAAAGGAAATTCTACCAAATACTAATTGAGTGTATGTAAAGTTCTGACCCACTGGGAATGTGATGAAAGAAATAAAAGCTGAAATAAATCATTCTCTCTATTTTTCTGACATTTCACATTCTTAAAATAAAGTGGTGATCATAACTGACCTAAGACAGGGATTCTTTACTTGGATTAAATGTCAGGAATTGTGAAAAACTGAGTTTAAATGTATTTGGCTAAGGTGTATGTAAACTTCCGACTTCAACTGTATATTTTTCCAGGAAATCCTACTCTAATGATGATAGCTGAGAGCAGGTAGCCAAGGTAAGCTTGGCAAAGCAAAGGCAAGCAGTAAAGACATCAAAAAGGGAATGAAAGATTTTATATTACTGGCCAGAATAATAAATAAATAATGTAGTTTTATAGTATTTTCCCCTCCCAGTTAGTTTTAATGTGTAAGTGTTCAGGCAAGGCCAAATGGGTACAGTAGAGAGGCAGTCACATGTATTCTCTCTGGTTCAATTACTTTCTTGACAATTTCACATTGTAAGGTAAAGGGCAGAAAAGCCCAGAAGAGTAATAATTCATCCTAATCTTCCAAAGTGCAGAGACTTCAGTAAAAACCAACACTCTCCAAAGTTAGACCACCTGTGTTTTTAGGGTCACTTGTCTGCATACTCAGTCCAAGGGAAGAGTAGCTGCAGGATAAAGAGCCATTCCCCTGTATGGGCTGTTTGTCTGCTTAATTAACACTTACCAATGTTATTGTGCTCCCTCTGGTAGCTCCCGAGTCGTGACTACTGGGGCACCTCTGCCAATCAAACTAGACTCACCCAGGTGCAAATACTTAGCACACTTTCATGTTTTGGATATGATAATGAAGAACGATAGGGAGGGGGGGCACACACTCTCAAACCTCAAAGGCACAATGTATAAATTACCAGCGGTTAGTCTAAGAAATGTAAATTTAATCAGAGAATTAACAGGACCATCAGATGTTTAAAACTAGAGATGTTTTGGGAGTTCAGGGGGCACTTAACATTTGAATTGCAAAATAAATAAGGACTACGCCTTGCAGTTTGCTGTAGCATTTTCTCTCATTCCAGTAGAAATTACTGTTGAATTGTATGCTACTTTTCGAATAAAACATTTCCATCTTGGTTAATTTGTTATCCAATATATTCGTATGTATAATTTCAAAGAGTATTCTGCCAATAGACTTCTTGGCCTATAATAATAATGTGCTCTCCATCTTTGGTCTTTTGCTAATGCTAATGCTAATTGCTACTGCAACAGTCTATCATTCCACCCTAACATTTACATTTACATTTTAGTCATTTAGCAGACGCTCTTATCCAGAGTGACTTACAGTTAGTGAATGCATACATTCTTTTTTTTATACTGGCCCCCCGTGGGAATCGAACCCACAACCCTGGCGTTGCAAATGCCATGCTCTACCAACTGAGCTACATCCCTGCCGGCCATTGCCTCCCCTACCCTGGACGACGCTGGGCCAATTGTGCGCCGCCCCATGGGTCTCCCGGTCGCGGCCTGCTACGACAGAGCCTGGATACGAACCAGGATCTCTAGTGGCACACCTAGCACTGCGATGCAGTGCCATAGACCACTGCGCCACTCGGGAGACCTGCTGCTAGCACACTTGCTGATGGGACAACATGTTACCCACATAACTTTGAGAAATTCTGAATTATTCTAATCCATGATTAATTGTTCTTTAGATGGAAGGCTTCATCTTACCAGATACAGTTTGTGTGCAATAGATTTTGTGAAATGTAAATTATACTTTCATTTCTGTTTTTAATATCACTTTTTAACTTGAGTTTTGGTTCAGTTTTAGTTCTGTCCAGCTGAGGGCGCCAACACGGTGGCACTGGCAAGGCCATCAGCACATCACTCCCTCACCCCTGAGGAACTGGACTGGAGTGCACTGACATTCTCTGTATTGTTTTCCATGCCTTTTGTTCTTCTTGTAAATAGTTTTTCTCATGTTTGACTTCTTCTGTATTCCTGACAGATCACGTTCCGCTTCCCTGCCGCCTGGCTGACAATGTTCGACGCAGTGCTTATTCTCATGCTGATCCCCCTTAAGGACAAAGTGGTGGACCCCATCCTCAAACGGAGAGGTCTGCTGCCCTCCTCCCTCAAGAGGATCGCAGTGGGGATGTTCTTCGTCATGTGGTCAGCTGTGGCGGCTGGTGAGTGGAGTCAGCACTGAGTGCAGCAGCTAATCCTTACTGTGAATATGGCATGTTTTGAGAGCCTGTCGTGGTAGATCATGCTAGTAAATCTTCCATTTATACCACCCCACATCCTCTTCAACCCACAGTTTCACAATGTCACATGTTAGGAAAAACCCGGCTCCTTGATCTAACATCTCTCAGTGATCTGTGTTGCTGTTCCTTATTCTGTGGCTGGGTAGATGATGTCAGGACTCACAAGGCAAACAGGACAAGCAAGCCAATGTTGCTTTGCTTTATTTTAGCAGTATGTTGCTCATGTTTCAACAGTTTCAAGGACTTATTTGAGGAGGGAAAGGATAGGCAGACAGGGATTATTTGCAAAAATTCTCAACATCCATACAACATATATCTTTTTTTATTTGAGTGAAAGGGAAGTGGGATACCTAGTCAGTTGTACAACTGAATGCATTCAACTGAAATGTCTCTTCCGCATTTAACCCAACCCCTCTGAATCAGAGAGGTGCGCGGGGCTGCCTTAATCGACCTCCCATGTCATCGGCGCCCGGGGAGCAGTTGTTGTTGGGGGTTAATTAACTGCCTTGCTCAGGGGCAGAACGATAGATTTTTACCTTGTCGGCTCGTGGAATCGATCCTTCAAAAATGATTCACACCCCTTGACCTTTTCCACATTTTGTTGTTGCAGCCTGAATGTAAAATTGATAAAATAGAGATTAATTTACAATTAAAAGCTGAAATATCTTAAGTCAATAAGTATTCAACCTCTTTATTATGGCAAGCCTAAATAAATTGCAAGGACTCATTCTGTGGGCAATAATAGTGGTTAACATGATGTTTGAATGACAACCTCATCTCTATACCCCGCACAGATTCAACCACAAAGACCAGGGAGGTTTTCCAATGCCTCTTTGATTTGACCTATTGGTAGATGGACACTTAATGTCCCTTTGAGCATGGTGAAGTTATCAATTACACTTTGGATGATGTATCAATACTCTGTTGCCGGAGAGTAAGGAATCCGCTCAGGGATTTCACCATGAGGCCAATGGTGATTTTAAAAACGGTTACAGAGTTTAATGGCTGTGATAGGAGAACTGAGGATGGATCAACAACATTGTAGTTATTCCACAATACTAACCTAAATGACAAAGTGAAAAGAATGAAGCCTGTACAGAATAAAAATAGTCCAAAACATGCATTCTGTTTGTAATAAGGCACTACATTTAAGTAATACTGCAAAAATGTGGCAAAGAAAATATATATTTTTGTCCTGAATACAACGCATCACTGAGTACCACTCTTCATATTTTCAAGCATGGTGGTGGCTGCATCATGTTATGGGTATGCTTGTCATCAGCAAGGACTAGGGAGTTATTTAGGACGGTGATTCCCAAACTGTGGGGGTGGGGGGGGGGGGGGACTCTTGAAAATTGTAAAAGTAGAATGCACAAGGTGCAATTTCGAAATTGGGTAGTGCATCATCAGTTTGCCTCTTGTCAAGTCAGTCATTGCATACCTTAGAGAGCTATTTCTAACTTGTAAGAAATGTCCAGATCAACTAGCCCATGTCAGCTAATGTTTTTTAGCCCATAGATTTTGTAGTAATGTTTGCGTAACTCAAATATCACATGAATACACATTAGACATGGCAAAATTCATAGAATTGCAGGAAATAAGCTTTAAACCTACAACATTTTCTCTCCGTCAACAAGAGGGGTGTGATCAATTTGTGTCATGAACAGTGCTTGTGCCCGGGATGTTCCTCAATGCTGGAAGGGGGGCCTGAGTAAAAAAGTTTGGGAACCCCTGATTTAGGATAAAAATAAATAGAATAGAGCTACGCACAGGCAAAATCCAGAGGAAAACCTGGTTCAGTCTGCTTTCCACCAGACACTGGGAGACAAATGTACCTTTCAGCAGGAAAATAACCTAAAACACAAGGCCAAAAATACACTGGAGTTATTTACCAAGAGGACATTGAATGTTCCTGAGTGGCCTAGTTACAGTTTTGACTTAAATCAGTTTGAAAATCTATGGCAAGACTTGAAAATGGCTGTCTAGCAATGATCAATGATCAACAACCAACTTGACAGAGCTTGAATAATTTTAAAAAGTATAATTGGCAAATATTGTACAATCCAGGTATGCAAAGCTCTTAGAGACTTACCCAAAAACACTCACAGCAGAAATTGCTGCAAAAGGAGATTCTAACATGTATTGACTCAGGGGGTTGAATACTTATCTAATCAAGATATGAGTGTTTATTTTTCATTAATAAATAACAAATTGTAATTTTTCTTCCACTTTGACATTACAGAGTATTGTGTGTGGATCGTTAACAAAAAAGGACAATTAAATCCATTTTAATCCCACTTTGTAATATAACAAAATGTGTAAAAAGTTGAGGGGTGTGAATACTTTCTGAAGGTACTGTATATTTGACCAGCCTCACTGTCCTCTAAAAAGAGGAGCTGACCTTCATAGGGCTGTTTGTTCTTCAGGACTCAGCAGGTAGTCTGTCAGTAAGGTATTCATATTCTTTGCATCAGAACACAGCTCTCTGGTAAAATGGTATCATACAGACTTGGAAAATAAAAAAGCCCCAAAGGTGTACTTTGTTTCCTCATCCTTATATAGCATAGAGAGTAGATATATGGCATCCCATCCTCTATTCTGGTTCTGTTTGACTGCACCCACATCGAGCACTACTCAGTTCAGTTCCAGCCCGTGGATTATCTTTGAAATAGTCTCAGCCTAGTCTGTCACTGGCTGCTGCATTGATGTATTCAGGCTAAAATATTTTGAGTGAGTCGAGCATTTTCTCAAATCAGTGGCACGCTTGAGAACCAATACACATTTTATTTTCACAACCAGGGTCTCTTTCCTCCTCGTCGATACATTTTCACTCCAGCATATAAGCACATTAAATGTGCTGGTGACCTTGGGGATGGTGAGACAATAACTTTTTAATTCACAGCTGAATACCGTTAACAGGCTTTTGTAAAGCATAATTCATATCTAGTGTGGTGTAAATATTTTGTTCACAGTAGCATTAAACAACATGCCCACACACAGTCCCAGTAGTCATTGCTTTATTCTTATTGATATTGCATTACATTCTGCTGTATGAGGCGTATGACTGTGTGATAGAGGGATAGTGATCCAGAGGCTCTAGCTAGCTGGTAGCTGGTGCCCCGTGTGGGGATGTCATCAGAGCCTAATGAAGACCCCAGAGACACAGCCCTCCCTCCCCATGGACAGACCGGCTCAGCTGGATCCCACTCACTACTGCAGCACCGTCATTAATAAACCACAGCCAACCACAGGCACCTTGCAGAAGGAATTACTTACCAACTTACTGTCTAAACATGGGTTTGTATGTGTGTGCATCTATACTAGGTACTGTAGTGTAGGTAGGTGGGGATGTATATTTGTGTGAGAAAGATTTTTCATTTAGCCTGTCTGAGACAGCGCCTGTATACAGTATTTTCTTTGCTATTGTATCGTTCTATTAACCAACTCTAATGACGCTATTCTTTGGACACAGACAATGCTGTCTAGATGCTCACTGTGCCACTACTATTGCGAAAGGAAATGTATTTAGTATATGTTTGTTTCATATGGTCAAAGGCTTTTCTTGCCGTTTATTTACCATAACAACATTTAAAAAGAAAATTGCAGCACTTGAAAGTAGGGAGAAGAAAAAGGTTGAATATTTTAAAAAAACTATTTGAACTCACAGTAGTGAAGATAAAGGGTTTATGGCAGTACAGCAGCCTCTACTGTGGCCACTGGTCACACAGAGGACAGGTAGGGGGTGAATGCTGCATAACTCCTTAACTCTACTCTTGCATGTCCCAACCTCTTCATACTGGATAACTGTGGTCTGACAGTTCACACACTGATTTAGCTCTCTTTAATGTATAAGGCAGCAAATCACGTAGCTATTATAGTATAATAATTTGTTTTGGAAACACTAATTTATGTCCTATACATTTCAGTGTCTGTAACATGTGCCATGTTCTACTTTGGAGAGGGCCTTTATAGTTAATTGACAGTCTGTACTCTGTTACTCCTGCTAACTACTATATTAAAGAGGCCTTAATCCTCTGCTGCGCAGTAACTGACCTAATGGTGTATAGGGAACACACACCGTAGGACACAGATGGGCAGCTGTGCATCTGCCATAGTGGTATCTGTTGCCTCGGGCACAGCTAGCATCAACACAGCCTTGCACGCCTGCCATCCTCAGTTCACAGGGTTGGCATCTATCGCTATGCCGACCTGCCCTTTGTTGAGTGGTGGATCACAAAGCGGGCCCTCACCACATGGTGTGGGAAACATGGCAAAGCTGCGTTGACATTGCCTTTGAAGGCCATTGACATTGCCTTTTATCAGTTTCAACAATCTCTTAAACTGAATTCTAATCTGCTTTAGCTAGTGCTGAATGTGTTCTATATTAGATATGCAAAAGTAGCTCTAGCTTATTTTTTTAAAGCACCCAGGGATAGGGCTCAAATGCCAGATATGATGTTGAAAAAGCAGTATATGTGTGTTTATGGCGAGTGTAAGAAGTTGCTTTGGGCAGGGCAGCGACCGCCTTGCCTTGCCTGGGATGGACAGGCGGTATTATAGGCTAGCTGGATTAGAAGGCCCCATCCCCTCTCAAATACAGCATAAAGTGTGGGGAGATGATAGGAGGCTGTCGCTGGGCGTTATCTGGAAATAGCTGCTGGTTCCATGATAATGGTTATCGAATAAAGCTTTTAGGAAGCAGCAGCTGCTGATGACAACTGCTAGGGGTGTTATTGTTGAGTTGTCGGCTCTCCTCCATTACTAACTGCATGCAGATGTGATCTTAATGAATTGACTTGACACTTAAGCCCTAATGGAATGTTAGATCCCCTTTCTCCTGCCACAGAATCTGTTTGTCTGTTTGTCCGTGGCTCTTAATTTAGAACGCTTAGGACTTTTACAAGTATTCTGTTTTTATGACTGTTGTATATTGAGGGCAAAAGTGGTGCATCTCGGCAGAGAAAGTTTAAAAGCTGAGTCAGTCCTCATCTTTAGATGGTGCCAATCAATATTAACAAGGGGTGATAGCCATTGCTTTCTCTTGTAGTGTTTTTTTCCCTCATTCGGTTTACAGACAAAATTAACCATTACATATTTTCATAATTCATAAAAACAAGAGTTGTTCAAGTTTTTGTTCCTATCGGTGTTTGTGCACTGACATAATTCAAGCATCTAGGCCTAATTACATTCTAAACACATTTTGTGCCTCCTTCCCTACAGGTATACTGGAGACAAAACGACTTGAGATCATCAAATCTAATGGCACCATCGACCAGGTCTTTGGCGATGTCATCTACTACGCAGCAGATCTGCCCATATGGTGGCAGGTGCCTCAGTATGTGCTCATCGGAATCAGCGAAATCTTTGCCAGCATCGCAGGTATGTGGAATGCTGTTCTGTTGGCCAGTTGATATAGAAATGGCCAAAGGAAGTGTATATTGCATATACCATTATAAAGAGATACAGAGATCTGATAATGACAATGATAATTGTCTAACAGATTTGGTTACAAGTGATAATTTGGTCTTACAGTCAGTACTAATAGATGTCGATGAATTGTTATAATTGATTATCTTGATTGCATCACCACTATTATCCAGTAGCCAATTATAGAATGTTTTGTTAAAGAGCAAATTTGAAGTGCAGTAGTCTATGTAATGGTAAAGTAACCTTTAATATGCATTGTGATTAATACTTTTCCTCTCCTCCAGTCTTTGAACAACCTGACATTTGTTTTCCTCTGCTTCATTCTTATGTCCTAATTACTCATCCAATCAATGGTTTTCTGTTCTAAAACACAAAACCCTTCCTGCATCCTTACATTGGTGTAGCAACTGTTGCCTGTGCTATTGTTGAAATTGCTAGGTAAGGAATCCAGGGAGGGATAAATCAGTAGGGGTAGATTTAGCCCCAAATAGATACTTTATTGCAGGTTTTAAAGTCAGATTTAGCATTGGAGTTTGCTGAGCAGCATGTTCTGCAGCCTCTACAGTACCTCAACAGACAATGGACAACCACGTTCATATATTTTGATTGTTCTCAGTAACCACCACCGGTGTTGGCATGCTACAGTAGTTCTACCACTGGTACCTGTACAGCTACTAAGGGTAACATTACATTCTATAACATTGACCCTGTCCATGAATTGACATCTGAGTGAATGGCAAAAATACATTGTGCATTTGGTTCAAGGATTTTGAACACAGCAGGTAGGCTACTAGAGCTCTTCTCAGAAACTCACCCATACTAGTTGACACCCTCACACAGTGAATTGGACCTGCAGTGAATGGTGCTGTCACTGAATGGTGCCGTCTGAGTAAATGGCTAAAATACATCCATGAATTGCTATCTGAGTGAATGGAATATGTTGTGTGGTAAATAAGGATTTTGGTCTTGAGCATTTGTTTCAAATTACTTTGTAAGTAGGCTATTTCGAACACAGCATGTAGGCTGCAATCACAGAATTATGGCTGCAAGAGCTCTCCTCAGAAGGTCATCCTGGTTGATACCCTCACACAGTGATACCCTCCCCAAGGACATTATTCAATTATAGTTTTAGCTTGTTGTGGTATACTGTCCGAATAGTTTTTCCCTGAGAGTAAATAAAACCCTATGAATCCTGTTAGCATATGCGACATGATGGTTGATATTAAGCGGGTAAGGGCCACTCAGTTTCTAGCATAAGGGCTTTACTCTCCCTCAGTGTTTGCAGAGAGCCATTATATGGTTGATGACAAAAAAGTCTAAGCAGTAACACAATAGTATGCGACAAATACATGGGCTCTGTGTATGGGCATGGCAAAGCTAAAAGAAGATGCTACAATATGGATCTATAGATAATTATTATAACAATCATGTTTGGAAGTGAAACCAATTCACACTGATCCACTCAGTGAAAGTAAAGCAAAGGGAAATTATGCTTTGAATTGTGGATATGAATTGTCAGTTGTGCAGAAATCATTTGTACACTTAGTGTACAAAACATTAAGAACACCTTCCTAATATTGAGTTGCACCCCCTTTTGCCCTCAGGAGAGACTCAATTTGTCAGGGCATGGACTCTACAAGCTGTTGAAAGCGTTCCACAGGGATGCTGGCCCTTGTTGACTCCAGTGCTTCCCACAGTTATGTAAAGTGGGCTGGATGTCCTTTGGGTGGTGGACCATTCTTGATACACACGGGAAACTGTTCAATGTGAAAAATCCAGCAGCGTTGCAATTCTTGACACAAACCGGTGTGCCTGGCACCTACTACCATACCCTGTTCAAAGGCACTTCAATCTTCAGTTCTTGACACATCTACACTGATTGATTTGAAGTGGATTTAACACGTGATATCAATGAGGGATCATAGCTTTCACCTGGATTCACCTGGTCAGCCCATGTCATGGAAAGAGCAGGTGTTCTTAATGTTTTGTATACTCTGTGTATATGGCTCTGGGCTAGGCTATTTTCTACCACTTGCTCTTGAACAATTATTGTTCCTAATGTAGATGTTAGCATCTTCATTTAATTGTCAACATCACCATAGCGATCGACTGAAGAACAGCTCCACTGTTGACCCAGTGCAGTCAAAAATGTGATTTCCACACTGAGGTTGGAATAATACTGTGAAAATGATGATAATGCCCTTTTAGTGTAAGAGCTGTTTCAAAAGAACACCTGCAATTTCAGCCTGTTTTGGTGGGATGGAGTTTTGCCCTGCCTTATGACATCAACAGGCGGTCAATTAGTTAATAGACCAATAACAAAGAGTTCCAAACCTCTCTGCCAATAGCAGCTAATTTTCAGTTTTCCCTTCCCCACTCAGAGCACTCCCAGACAGTCCAAAGAAAATTATTGCTTGAGCAATTGCTCTTTGCTTAGAAGCTATCTTTGTTTCTTTTTGACCATTTTAATTGAAAACAATTACAGTAGCTAGGTTTCCATCCAATTGGCAATACATTTTCATGTAAATATTCTAGAATCTGCATAAAGAAAATACAGTGTATTTGGAAAGTATTCAGACCCCTTGACTTTTTCCACATTTTGTTACGTTACAGCCTTATTCTAAAATTGATTACATTATTTTTTTCCCTCATTAATCTACACACAATACCCCATAATGACAAAGTGAAAACAGGTTTTTAGAAATGTTTGCAAATGTATTAAAAATAAAAAACTGATATCAAATTTACATAAGTATTCAGACCCTTTGCTATCAAAATTGAGCTCAGGTGCATCCTGTTTCCATCGGTCATCCTTGATGTTTCTACAACTTGATTGGAGTCCACCTGTGGTAAATTCAATTGATTGGACATGATTTGGAAAGGCACACGCCTGTCTATATAAGGTCCCACAGTTGACAGTGTATGTCAGAGTAAAAACCAAGCCATGTGGTCGAAGGAATTGTCCGTAGAGCTCTGAGAAGGGTACCAAAAAAAGTCTGCAGCATTGAAGGTCCCCAATAACCTTTCCCAGGCTTAGCCAGCGCACATTTGAATGGTACAACAAGTCCTGGTGCTCTGCCTCTGTGTCATTGAGCAGCTGAATGAACTGACGATGGTTAAACCCCCTTGCCCGTATAAAATTGACAAGTTCTACAACCACTTTGACAACATTTTCCAGCTTTAACACACTTTTACACAGGGCTTCCTGATGAATAATACAGTGAAGAAATATAAATTCCTCAGAGTTAGGGATTTCTTCTTTTACTTTGTCTTGTAATCTTTTTAGTAGGCCAATGTTTTTACCAGTTACATTTGGTGATCCATCTGTTGTGATGTTTGTCAGTTTTCTCCATGGTAGATTCATTTTTTCCAAGCAGGCAGACACTCTGTCATATAAGTCAGAGCCCCTGGTTGTTCCCATCATTGATTCCATCGCAAGAAGTTCCTCTGTTATTTCAAAGTTCTCATTTATTCCTCTAACAAAAAATAAAAGTTGAGCAGTGTCTCTGATGTCAGTATTCTCATCCAGTGCTATAGAAAGCCATCCGTTTTTTTTCGCGGCACTCATTTTTCACATCAAAAGTCATCAAGCAATGAAGTGGCTATGATGACTGAGCGCATTCTGAATCTGACTGTATGCCCAAATACAGAGCGCGCTGCCAGGCTACAGTGCCATCTATTGGAGGTTGCTTGTATATCATGGAATGAGTAATTTTAGGCTAAAAATCGTAACTCAAATATAATAATATTTTTTAAATGTCTCACGGGCCGGATTGAAGTGCCCGGCAGGCCGGATACGGCCCGCGGGCCCTACTCTGCCCCCCCCCCCCCCCCCCCCTGATATTTCAGTATTTTTCTTTAAATATACATTTGCAAAAATTTCTACAAACCAGTTTTTGCTTTGTCATTATGGGTTATTGTGTGTAGATTGATGTGGGGGAAAAACAATTTAATCAATTTTTGAATAAGGCTGTAATGTAACAAAATGGGGGGAAAAAGTAAATGGGTCTGAATACTTTCCGAATGCACTGTATATGCGCATTTTCCCACCAGTGGTATGTTTCAACCAAATGCACTTGTTGCGGATAAAAATCAGTGCTTGATGACGTAGTGCACACAATGTACTTTTTCGCTTACATTTTCATGTTCTGTATAAAAATCCAAAGTTCAATGTGTTTCCATCGCATTTTCATCTCTACCTATAGTTTTGTCACAACTTTTGCATTAAATAGCAAATGTGCCTACTCTGGTCGTGGCATCTGCGCTCTAGCCAACAGCTTGCAGATACAGTGTGGGTAGGCTGTGCGGGATGTCTAGTCTACATGATGAGATTATTATGGATGAGAGTGAGAATATATTTTTTATTTTGTCAAACTGCAGTCAAGCATCGACCATCATGTCACCAAAATAAGACCTTATATATTCATTGGAAAGCAGCATGAATCTCACCGTGCACTTTCACCCTGTGAAGTTCATCATAATGTATTTAATCTGTAGCCTAATAAACTGCATGGTTTCTCGAGTCGTAGTGGGAGGACCACACACCATATTATCACGTGACTTCAAATTTACTTTGATATGTTGTTTATTTTATCTATTTGCGCATAAAGGCATTTCCACCGCCATTTCCCGCATAATTAATTTTACAGACACAAAAAGATCCCACCATGTCGAATGAACAAATGATCTATCAGCATTTATAAAATTACTCAGAAACGTCATGATTCCATCCACAGCTGTCGTGATTTTATTTATATATATGACTTTACTCGCATAAAAACTGTGGATGGAATCATGGTTAGTAAGGTACTTAATTGTTACCCAGAAATGATTTGATATTGAGATAAAAACTGTGGCATTGGAACTTTTTTAAATGAGAAGGTGGTGAAATGCAAACTTTGAACTTCAATTTACAGAACTATATTAGATGTACAGTATTAGCAAATCATGTCTAGCATGTAATCTCTCCTCCCTCACATCTTTG